ATTTTCACATCTTTCTTATCAATTGTATCAAATTCATCTAGAGATCTCAAACTGTCTTTCCTGGAGCATTATTACCTTCAGTTTTCCGGTTTTGTGTATTGTTTTTCTTATCTTTTCCTCAGATTTGAAGATTATGAGATATTAAGAACGTTCAATAAACACAATATTCAGATTTAGTTATATTCGTTACTACATTTTCGTTTTTGCTGTGTTAAGTACGATACCAATGTTGCCAGCTTATATGATCGTGCCTGAACTGTTTCCAGCTTGATGTTGCCTGTATGTGTGCAGCCAATTCTATCATTTATTAATATTTATGTAAATCCAAACATCACATTCAGTTAGTTCAAAATGAAGTTTCGCAGAAGATATGCCGCATGTGATTAGATCAAATTGCATTGGAAAGAACTTTTTGGGCGATATGGGTTCATCTTATCATTGGGAAATCCTGTTATGAGTGCGTCATCTGTACTCAACTCTTGCGTATATCTGCAATATTCTGATTAAACATGTGATGTTGGAAGAGCATGTTAGCGTTTACTTGTCTATATTCTCAAGCAAACACTTTTTGAAAGCCTTTCATAAGCGGTTTATGCGTTACAAGATAGGCTATTTCCATGTTTTAAAAATGCATAGGCAATTTCCTTAAAGAAAGAGCAAACCTAACGAGATCAGCTGCTGTTTGTGAAATTGGTGTTCGTCGCATATTTCTTTCTCCACGTAGTTGTTCAACTTGCTTTTTGGCGTGTTGAACAGCTTGATCTCTCCCGCTCATTCTGAAGATTATCAGTTTTAAGATTATGCAACTTAAATAATGCCATAAAAGAAATATATAAAGATAGGAAGTGTAAATGGCTGACAATGGCAAATGCTGTTTCTCATATATCAGCTTGAGCTTGACATGTCTTCTATGCGTCTTGTTTTCTTTTTTGGAATTGAATGGTTATTAGCTAGTTATTTCACTAATAATTTCAGGGTTTATATCAAAGTCTCTGCACATGTGAAATGGTTTTGAAATTGTTTATGTAATGGTTGATCGCTCGTTCGTTTGTAATATAATGGAGTTGGCCAATCAGATTGCATGTGTAAATCAACAATCCTCTATAATCTCTTAAATGGAAAATAAAACCGACGACTTGTTCAAAATGACCAGTTGTTATATGAGCATTTTACATCGTTGATTCACTTTCTGACAGCTCAGAAGGTTTTTAACTCTGTCGTCACATAAATCCCTATATGCTTCATTCACCTTTTTGCTCTCTATTTTGAATAAGCTTGAAGTTGCTTTTGTGGTTCAGTTAGGTTAGGGCGGAGCGCTTAATACGATTAAGTAAAAAATAATATGCTAATAAGGTTCGAATTGAGGTCAAATTAGTAATCGTAGGCGAAACACAAGCTAACAACAGAGGCTATTAAACATCTGGTAAACAGCCAATGTCAAGCTCGTATATTAGAATATTATATGCCTACCGTGCTATTATATTCAAAAGGCTTTTCCGATCGACATAATCGACAAGATTTTGGAAAAGATTTGGATATGATATATACATATGCATATACGGGAGGCTGTAAATAATATTGTTTCCTTAATTGGCAATCGATGATTTATAATTGAAACCTGTCATACATGGTTGAGATTATTAAAGTTTCTTTTGTTGATTTTGTATAGGTTAAAGACTAAAACATAGAGTCGGTTTACCAATCTCATGGATCAATTTTCAAAACATTACATCCGTCAAGTGCGGGAACGTATAGACTCAAACATGAACCACATGATAGGGTAGAAGAGAGATTCGATTTATCTTTGAAGAACCAAAGTAAAGCTTAAAATGAAGAAAAACATTACGAAGAAGTTGAAAGTCATCACAGTCCAATGCTTACGAATTTTCTTGGCATACGTCTCGAACTCTTGTGAACAAATACAGAACGTTCACGAGAATGATTGTGATGATGACTTGACTGTGATGATGGGTTTGTCTATTCAGAGGCTCTACTAGCTTTGTTTGTAGAGAAAAGAGAGCCTCAGAATGAAGAAAGATGAGAATTCAATAGTTAGGAAAAACTGTGTGGATATGTAAAACCGCATAGACAAGTAAGTGGAAACGTGAAACTAAGTTGATGCGTACAACATTCAAATGGTTGAGACTATGCGGTTTAGAACATTCGGGGAGAAAGAGGATTGTCCAGTGAATCATGACGACGTCTTCTTTACGAAAATACCCTGATGAATGTAGGCAATTTGACGATGACGATGAAAATGGCGACCGATGTCTTTCTAACGACAAGAATGTCATATGTCTCTACGGCATAAGCGAAGAGAATATGAGGGACGCCATATTATTTCAATGGAAGATTTCAGCTAATAGAAAGAGGACGAAGGAACAACATCATACTTCAGGCTTCAAGCGTGGCTCTGATACGCCCTCTTCTTCCACATAATTATGCTATCGTTCATATGTAAAGTTTATTTCCATTCCGATATTTTGAAACAAAATAGAAAGTTAAGCTGTGGTTTTACGCGTTTGTCCTCTGATGGCACATAAGTCGATAACTAGCCAACATATATAATGTAATGTAACTAAAATTGATTTCATGTTGAGGCCAGACAAATTCCATAATCAATGGATAAAAGTGCAGCATGGCAGATTAAATTCAGAGTTTGGGGTGGAATATGGAGTGAAACACTTTTTTTTTCTTTTTCGTTTCATGCCATTCTCTCTTCTGAACCTTCTGTGACATTGACACCATGAGGGTAATGATCTGTATGTAGATGTGTGTGAGTGCATAATAGGCGTATCTAGCACAGCCAGAAGCTTCGCTGCTTAAAGACAGAGCAATTTCTATAACCCCACCCATTCAGTTTAAACTTTCGTGATCATTTGCTATATATTTCTGAATTGTTCAGCTGTTGTTTATTTTTCTTTCTTTTGTATTCGAAAGCTTATTTCTTCACTTTAATCTAACTTCATATGCCTCATTTCACAACCAATTGGACTTGACCACGGTATCTTGTCTTGCTGTCTGTACCCAAGATATTCAAATTTCGAACATGTTAACATCTTGGGTAAAGATTGGAGACCTTATAGAATTAATAAAATATTTAAATAAAGATTATTCTTCGTTTAATTTGAATAATTATATTCTCGTATAATAAAAATAATGTTAAACAACCTATAATCTCTGTTTTCTTAGTAAGTTCAGGAGGGAGGGGAAGTATGTCTCGGATGTCTCATGGTCTTAAGAATGATAATTTCAAACATTGCATTTGATTTTGGCGTTTGTCATTTTTGATAGATTACGTACTTTTTTAAACTGAGTGTGCCATAAATATTGATGTGATGGTTCGGCGGGTAGTGAGGGTATCTCGGGTTTCCTAGGTCTACTAGGTCTGGTAGATCATAGCTCAGCATTTTGGTTTTGAACTGGTGTTTTTCGATAAATTGAATAAAAATTTTATAATTTGTACTATAATTAGTGATTTAGCGATTCGATGGGTGGTGAATGAAATTTCTGGCTGTCCTAGATACGCCTATTACATGCTACTTGTGTGGACTGTGAGAGTCAGAGCTGCAAAGAACTTTAAACGAATGATCTCGCGTTCTTGGCGCTTTGGTCAGTATGTATGTATGAAGCATCAACTTTCATCCTAAAATGTGCTAAATCAAATGATTCTAGATGTTTTGTGAGAATCAGTTTGTTTTCCTGACTCGCTTCAATAGTTTATTTATCTAAGACAAGCTGTAAGATGATTTACAGAATTTAAGTTTCGAGTTGGACATAAACAATTAAGGAAACGAATGTAAAACGACAGACAAGAGGAAAACGATGTGAAGCGAAAAGGACAAACGTATATGAGTTATCTTGCCTGCATTACTAATCGGTTGTCAGCCAATCTGTTTTGAATTCAATTTGAAACGAGAGCGTAAGCGATGTCATTAAGAATGTTCTTAAACATTTTTAAAAAATCGCGGAATCATTATCAGGACCTATGTTAGTGACACGTCGAGTTGACCTGATTATCTTTGCTATCACTTAAATCTATATGCATCCTTCTTCAGCTACCGATTTCTCATCTTCTCCAATACATGTGTATGCGAGAGAAGACGAAGAAGAAGACAAAGATGAGTCCACGGTGAAAAGCAATCAGATAGAGAGTGAGGGAGAGATACACACGTAGCCTTAACGTAAAACAAATATTGTTAAGAAGCCGAGAAGGGTGTCATGTTCTTTGTAGGCAGTTCTTTACAAAAATGATCAATAGGTTAGGATTTCCTATAGAGCCCCTAGTTATTATATCGCTATGTCTTATTGATTCTTCTGTCATATGAAGCTTCTGAGGCTTAAAATATGCGCAAAATCGTCTTTTTTTCGATTTTCGAAGTAGCAAGATGTTAAAATGACATCGACGAACATTTTGCGATGCTTAAATTTCACTTGTTTCGTGTTTTTCCTGCTGTAAGAAACAGGAAAGTTCGCTTCGTCAATGCTGGTTCATATGGTAACAATGACTTCTCTATTAGCAACTATTAGAAAGTAAAAAACTGAATTTCATATGTGCTCATATATTTTTCACATTATTGAGCAGAAAGTGGGATAACTGAATTCCTGTATTTTATATAATTTAAAAATTTGAAAATACACCGCAATTTGCGCGCGTTCCTTTGAAAATGACGTGTGACGTAATCACGTAAAGGTGTCAGCCTTACACTACCCATTTTATTTCGAGCTTGACTTTCCACAGAATCGGTTGATTTCCACTTCGCCAGACCGGTCGACGCACACATACACACACATTCACCCACTCGTTCTTTTATTTCTCATACGTACACATAACTTATAAAGTATATATGACTTTACTTATACATATGTGTATGTGCTCAAGATGGTAATGAACGATTAGATATATGACCCGATAACATGTGACATGTTTCAAAATCGAGTAGAATCAAGCAGAGGCTTTCAGTTCGTGCGAACAGGGTACTGCCAAAATCAGCATTCACATCAGCACCACTTGCCCCAACGCCACTAGTCTACTAGTCGAAACGACTAACGCAGCAACAGCAATTGCAGCCATGGTTGTTGTAGAAGCAGCAATAGACTGAGTGACGGCCAACCAAACAACGAAGTGACCCTATGACCAGTTCACACTTCTATGAACATGCGTTTATTAGGTTTCATTCGACAAATCGAAATGTTTTAAAAGCCTTCACATCATTTGTTTCATCCTCTCCATCGTTTATTGGATATGTTTGAAAGATTTAGTTGGTGGAGCGAATTGAGGGCTTTGTCTCATGACCTTTGCCAATTATGTGCAACAAAAACAATCTACATCTACCATTTGTTTGGCTTATATCTATTTATAATTAGGAACCGGACATGCTCAAAATGGAATATTTTTCAATTATGAATGAATAAACTGAATGCGCATAAACATATACCTCCATATTTATCAAATTTTCTCATAAATGCTCCAGACCCCGTGTCCATATACATATATATATATATATATATATGTACGTATACATATATACACTTATATATATTGTAAATCCTATATAATTCAACAGGTTTTTTTTTATCACATCGTCTCACGTCTCTCTCTGCTGCCTTAACCCCAACATGAAGATGTTGTTTGGAGAGTAACATGCTCTTATTAAAAAGTACTTTGCCAGAGAACAAATTAAGACCAAACGAAGGAACATTTGAAATATGTAACTGCTAAAGCTGACCTAATTGACACATATTGACGAAATATTTGGATAAGGCCCTAAGAACCCACGCCAGGCCAAGCCAAGCATCTATGTGAACGTGGCCATGTCATATGTGAACAACGCCAACTGTGAATATTACGGCAATTCTTCATTGGCATTAACCCGTTTTGACATAGTCCTTAAGGTTTCTCTGTCCTCGCTCCTTCTCCAGGTTACTGCTTGTCATTAAGACCCATCAAGCTTCATACAATTGGCTTATATATGATTACCTGGGTCATAGATGCATGGAGATTGACATTATTCTATACATCTGAGCTTAACTGGCCGTATATGAGCCAGAAAAACCGGGTAAAAACAAGAAAAATTCTGAGGAAAAAAATGATACCATCCCGGATGGGGACCTGGATGGATCTGTAGTACCGAAGCTCGAACAACTTCTCTCCGTCCCTGTGAGCTGAGATAGCGCTTCTTACTTAGAGAGAGAGCCCCAAGTGTGAAATAGTGTCTTTGTATTGGAGATTTCCTTCCCCAGTGTTCGTTGTTGGAGATGGGAAAGATAGCGTGTAGCGGAGGCCACAGGCGTCGTTGCGAATCGATGAGAAAAGACAAAGACAATAGTAGAGGACGCAGCATGACATACATTTTGAGAGAGTCTAACGCGTATTGAGAGCGCAGCAAGAGATATCGATCAGAGAATGTGAGGAAGTATGTAAACAAGAGAGGGCGCTTCTACAAGGCCGGCCCCTCCGACCAGTGTTTTGTTTCCCTGCCTACATCGTCGCTCTAGCCTCCCTACCACCCTCCCTATCTAGAGAGACGGAGATCAAGTCGTTTACTACCGTATAAGGAATAAATCGGTTAAAATAGGTATGTAACTCGTCCCTCCTATGCTTAAAACACTTTAAGGTTACCGGAAATTCAAAAAATTAACCATTTTTTTCTGTATTTAATGGTATAAAAATTGCCTAAATCATAGCTCTCTCCCTTACTCTTTCTGTTCCACTTCTCCCCTCTCTTCTTCTTCTCAACTCTTTCTGTGCCTCACCCTCCCTCTCTTTCTTCCTTAGTGTTCCCTCCTTCTCCATTAATACTATCACAGAGTATGAAATGGAAAACTTGAAGGAGCATTTTCTACCGTGGCGAAATTTAGGTCCCTTAGAAGCCTTCATTAGACTGCTTTTAAGAAAAATGTAGAAGTAATGACAATCAAATTCCGTTCATTTTTCATCAGCACAACGAAGTTAAGATGTTTTCCTTAACTGTCTATCAGTTTATAAGAAAAATTAACGAATTCATATGAATCTTTCGAAATTTATATGCAAGGGAGTCCAGCACGTGACTAACCCTATGTACTTTTGTCCCGGTCTTTTAAAACAGCATTCGTTTCTTCAAGTTTTCAAAGAATTATATATATATATATATATATATAGATACACATTGCAATATCATTTATCCTCCGCTGATAAATCATGCCAAACAGAAATCTGAATACTTTAGCTTTGGCTCCAATCGGTGCACCTATAAATCAATTAATGCTAACCACAAAAATCCAATAATTTCAGCAATACCATTTCAGCCCAACACAACAACCCACAATAATTAGAATTTGTGCTTAGCGTCTTTTGGCAAGACCATGTGGACTGATTCTCGACAAGCTCCACTTTTCTCATCAGTCAGTAGGCATAAGAACGTTTAAAAGAAGAAGCGGTCGCTGGTTGAGAAGGCGAAAATCCTTCGAGTATCTGCAACACCGAGATGAAGAGACTAGGAGAACGTTTTTTTCTCTCTTTTAACACTACCACTACGAATGAAAGTCCCAATTTAACTGTTTCCTTCCACCCCCTCTTCTCCCCTCTGCCTTTCTTCCGATGTTATCCCCCGTCTCGCGGCCTACCACTCTCTCGATCAATACACTGACGTGTATAACGCCGGTCTTTCTCCCCTCTATACTTTACACAATGTTTGATTAGTGCCTAGGTACTCTCCGCTGAGACTATGCTCTCTCGCTAAAATCAACCGCACGCTCACTCCCTGTGACGCGTGCTATTTTCGGTTGGCGTCCTCGTCACTCAATGCAGTCTATCCTTGCATTCCGATTTGTTACCATCTTTGCCCTCTCTCTTGCTGTAGTCTCAGTTTCGGTGGGAAGATTTAATATTTGAAATTCAGAAGCTTCTTCCTGTTCAATTCTAGTCTTAAATTATTTCTTTCATATGGTTCATCAATATAGGTTATTATCGATTTTATGGGAAAGCCGGTGGCGTTCTCCAGACGAATTATTGGTCATTGCTCATATCCGATCATCTTATACAGAGCTACCCCTGACGCTCCTTCTGTTTTTAGCTACAAAGCTTCTCTTCGAGCAATCACAGTTCAGATTACAAAAGCTTAAAGTTTAAATATTCTTAAAATCTCTGGAATTCGAGATTTTGCTGGTGTTCCACCATTCAAATTTCTCCTAATTTTTATCTCGCTTTAGGCGTCTCTTTCTTATCATACAATACTTTATCGTACTCTCTTTCAATCTCTCTCTTTCACTTAATATTCATACTTCAAAAGTCACGAATTTCAGGACTCGAAAGATGAATCAAAACATAACGTATACTTATACTGCTGATCCGCGTAATAATCAACAGCAACAGCAGAATCAGCAGGTTCTATCCGTGCAAGCCAACAACATCTTTAATGTTCCGATTCAGATGAGGGAACATATACAAGGATTATCTTTTCACCCTTCTTCCTATCAAGGGTCAACTTATACAACTTCTACATCGACTCCTTTCCACGCTAATAATGCTTCTTTTCTACAAAGCAATGTGGTGAGCAACTCGACAGTCCAAAATTGCAACTCTATTTCAACGGTTTAGCTTCATGCCATTCCCCAGTCTAGTGTCCAACCAAGGCAGCAGCAACATCAGCAACAACAATCGGACGGCGATGAGAAGGTAGGAACCTGCATAACTTAACTCGTGGAGCATTTCTTGATTTCCAGCCTCGCATAGCTTCAATGATGGAGGCTTATTTCGTTGAGCCTAACACGTCCACAAGTAATAATTGGGCACATCATTCTCAGGGACAAGTGAGTAGCAGTCAAAACACAACATATTGAATCCATATACTTTCAGGTCACTTATACCAACGGAACGCTTATTGCCGGATCTCCTAACATTAAGGTTTCTAATCGTTTGTTGGTAGCGCATACTGACTAATTATTTCCAGAATGTTACTAAAATTAATATATCGCCTGATAAAGCTGAAAAAGAACGACTTAAAAAGGCTCGTCAAGCTGAAGCAGCGCGAATGAGGTAAACCATTGCTTATGTCAGTTATCACACACATGAACATTCTACAGATATCATCGTCTTACTCCCGAAGAAAAACGAGAATTGAACCTTAAAAGGACCCTAGCTCAAAAACGAAAACGTCAAAGGGAGAAAGAATTGGAAGAGCTTGACAATATTTTACGAGAAACAAACGATATACAAGTAAGTTGTATTAATTTCTTTTCTGTTTCAAACTCATTATGTAGGAAGATCCTGACATAACAGAACAACTCCGGGAAAAGCGTATGAGAGCAAAATGGGCTGAAGCTGCTAGAGCACGTTATGCTAGAATGACTCCCGAAGAAAGACGAGCGCATAACAATCGCCGACGAATGCGACAGATGCAGAACGCGTTAGCAGCAGTTAAGGTAAGCGAGCCGAGCAAGGCAGCAAGCGGATGCATGCGGTGGCATAGCTGCGTTCAGTGCTTTTGAATATGAGGATTTATCGTAGTTTTTCCAGGGAAGTTCGGAATTCGCTGGATTACAAATGGTCCCTAGTGGTGATCCTGTAAAGGACGAAGAAGCAGTTAGGCAACACATTAAAAGTCAGAATGCAAAAAAGGCTGAGGCCGCTAGACAAAGGTAATTTAGGCATGTATGTGGACGCTCAGAACGGTTGCTTTTAGATATCATAGAATGACGGAAGATGAGAAGAGGTTGTATAACCAAAGGAGAACTGAAGCCTTCCGTCGTAGACGAATGGAGGAGGTTAGTATAATCACATGAAGTCTCTAATCCTCTCTTGTAGGAAATGTTATTGGCAATGCCCATAGGAAGAATCAATGGAGAAGCACTTGATCGTGCTCAACAAATTGTTGTTAGAAACGCCAAACGCGCCGAAGCCGCCCGTGCTCGCTATCAGAGAATGACTCCTGACCAGCGAAAGGTATTAGGAAAAGTATCTTGCGCTCCCAAGAATAATGGTAACGTTGTGTTTATAGAGCTATAATCAAAAGCGGTATACTCCCAAACGACGTAGTGATAGGGTAGTTACCCCCGGTGGAGAGCCCGTAACACCTGCTCCAGCAACTCCAACCGCTCCTCCCAAGAAGACCGAAGACCTAGACGCATTATCCTCCCTAGAAAGAGATGTACTCAAACGTACCCAGCAAGCTCAGCAGGTAAGCGGAAGACTTATGTAGCCTGTTCTCATTCAACAATTTTAAGGTACTGATGAGGCAAGGACAGCGCTTAGCGGGCGTTTCAGCACCAAGCGCTGGTGCTGCCAACTCTTCGTACATTATTCAACAAAATCCATCGCATTTAAGTAGTCAGGTAATAATTATATCGATAATACGGCAACTGTGTACAATTCAATTATAGCTATCCGGATCAGGAAATAATCATCAGAATGTAGTTCATGTTGCCCACCAAATGCAAAACACTTTAAGTCAGACGCTACTATCGCAACAACAAGTAAGCTAGTAATTGAAAATTGTTTTCACTAGTTGATGTTTTCAGGGTCATCATGCCGTAGTGCATCACACTCCTACCTCAGGTCATTTAAATGTCAATCATCAACCATCTCATCAGGTAAGCTATATCTTGTGTTAGTGACTGTTCCTATGTGATTCTTCTAGGTGTCTTATACGTCAAATGGAAGTATGATGATTAATGGACAACATAACGTAGGTCAACAACAAGTAATAAATCCATATGGTGCGCCTCAAAGAAATTAAGTGCCTGCTTGAACTGCTTTGATACAGTCGGGTGATCTCGTTTATTTTCCAAAAATGCGGTGAGTTTATATTTCACCAGCTGATGAATTCTAAAGTTCCCATTTTATCACCATCGTGGCCTAACACGACTCTGTTAAATTTGAAGTTTGTAACGGGATTATAATGTGCTAAATATTTGATTTTATATTCTATGGGATTTGGTAGTAGACAAAATTTAATAACTGTCTGGTAGGATATCAGGATCCTCTCTATGTTCCTCATTGCCTATACATATTAATCGTTTAAGTTTTGTTTCTCTTCATGTTGTTTTATCTTACCACCAAGTTCATGTACTATTTGTTATACAATTGAACGATAGCCTCTTCGCAATTCTTCAATTTAATAATTCTTTATCTAAATAAAGTATAATCAATAAAGCATTCTTAATGTGCCTTCGAATCACACAATGGTTACTTAGCCATTCATTACCTGATCTTTTTCATTTTCTTTGTCCTCTGCTTATAGTTTTTTTTACATTTCATATGTTATACTCTATTTCCAGGGTGATGAATCAACACCCCATATATATGACTGCGAGCAGTCCTCGAGATGATCGGCATCTGGATAACTTATCGTCCGATACCAGTGGCCCTACTTTCCAAGCCCTGGGATCTTTTCATCCCCAGGTTTTTTTTGTTGTTTTCAAATGTTATTTATCAGTTTCTTTCAGACTACTACTTATTATTCTCCCGCTCCCACAACTTTCCATGTGACGACGCCATATGGACAAGATAGAAAGGACTATGTAAGTGAAAAGGGATCCAACAGAAGTGAAATATCTTAGTTTCAGTTATCTTCAATACATGGTTTAACGCCGGTTCGGTTACCCGATCTATCCTCCTCTCTTTCTGGGAACAATTCATCCGAAATGGTATTCCCTATCAGTTAAGAATCATGTTCATTTCATTTTTATTTAGATGTCTACCCTCGGAACATTAAAGGAGCATCCAGCTGCTGTTCAAGCTGACCAAATGAATGCATATATGGAATTTTTTGTCGATCCAGAACAAAGTACTTCTGGTCAAGTTCATGAAGATAGCATAGTAATAGATGATGACTTGGGCCATCATCACTCCCAGCTTCTTGTGACTGATAAGTATGTGTATAGATTCTTTCTTTTCTAACTTCTGCTTTATAGAATTATGTTAGATTCTCTCAGTGATGAATCGATATTGGAAGGTCTTGGAGGAAGTAAAAGGTAATTTTGGTTATCATATGTGTCATAAAACCCATTTCATTCGCAGAAGGGTAGAAATGCTAAAGAAACGAAGACAGAGCGATAAGGAGAGGAAAGAGCTTGAAGATCTTCTACGGGAATCAAATGACATTGATGTATAACTAATTGTTCGTTTCATGTATTATACCAATTTTATAGCAGGATCCTGATACTATTGAACGTGTTCGAACTGCCCAAGCCAGAGCTCGTCGAGCAGAAGCCGCTCGATCTAGGTATCAGAGAATGTCCGAAGCAGAGAGAAAGTATTATCAAATTTCGTGCGCGATAGCTCATGTTTTCGATTCAGGAATTTCAACCAGAGGAGGCGTTTAAAAGCTTTAGGAATAGATCCCGATAGTCCAAAAGCCTTACAAGACCCTGATGTTGTCAAAGATAGCATACGGCTCGCCAACGCCAAGAAAGCAGAAGCCGCACGACTGAGGTATTGAATTTGTCACGTTTCTTTTTTTATTTGATCATTTAGATATCACAGAATGTCACCTGAAGAACGCCGTGAATATAATCAACGGCGAACGGAGTCTTTCAGACGCCGTAGAATGGAAGAAGAAATCTTATTATCCACACCCGCAGGTTTTTGGGAACATAGTTTTTTAATTCTTGTTAGACTTTCATCATTTAGGTCGTATTTCGGCTGAAGCTTTGGCCAAAGCACAGCAAATTATGATTAGAAACGCTCGAAAAGCGGAAGCTGCTCGAGCAAGATATCAGCGAATGACTCCTGAAGAAAGGAAGCAGTATAATATACGGAGAGCGCAGTCTAAGAAAGCCAGAAATCGCGCTTTATCGGAAGCTAGAGCTGCTGCTGTTGCGGCTGCCGCTGCTTCAAATGATTGCGATTTGAGTGCTTCATGTGAGATTAATCATTATTTTCCGATCATCTTCAAATTCAGCTTTTCCAGTTCTGGGAATAGGCTCGACTCTGCATTCTTCTCTAAACACGCAATTCCCCTCTGAACCTCCCGCTAACATTCTAGAGGTATCGTCAGTTTTACTTGTGTCGATAATTTATCCATTCTTTGCAGGGTTTGGGACCAGACCCAACTCCACCAGCTTCAGTTCCCGCTCAAGTCGCTTCAGCCAACAGCGATCCTGTGTCTTCACCGAGTTCAATTTCAACTACTGTCGATATCAAGCCATGCTTAACACCAACAACTTCTACTCATCCTTCTCCAATTCCACCTAAAGATACAACGTCTGATGATATTTTCCAACAGATGGAACGAGATGTTATGAAGAGGACAAAACAGGCTCATCTTACGTTAGCAAAACAAAGGTCAGAATTAAGACTGAACTGAGATTGTTTACTTTCAACTACAGATATTTGACTTCATCTTCTGGTCCTGCTATTCCGTCTACTGCATCTTCTGGAAATGCCATGAATAATGTGTCTTTATCCAGTACGCCCTTATCGGGCAGTTCTGGAATGCATGATCATAACATGTCAGGCGATCAGCATTTGCTTGATGACTCTCAGTTACAGCAGTTTTCTCACGTAAGTTTCTGTTTTTCTTTTCAACATGTACTTTTGATGTTCCAGAGTCAACAAATTATGATTGATGAGAAACTATTGAGACAGATTCTGATAACTGGCAGAGATCAAAACGGACAAGATGTCGAATTACGAACTATGGATGGCCGAATAATTCGGGAAGAAGGCGAACTGAAGTATGCATTTTATAACTCAATTTATTAATAATTTTTTTCCTTAGTGCACTCGGGAGAGGAACACCAATTCTCATTCATCCTCGACAGAGTACGCCAATAAGCATGAGCCAATCATTTTCTAATCATATGGGCCCATCCACCTCCGGACAATCAAATATTTATTCACATTCTACTTCATCTAATCAATATAGAACCAGTAAGCTCCTGACTCACGACTTTGTTTATAATATTGTTCTAGGTGAGGGACCTTCATCTACACCTAATTCACTCGATAAACAAGCTTTGGCTAAAGCTAGAAGAGCTGAACGCGCCAGGATAAGATATCACAGTATGCTTCCTGAAGTTCGTCAAGAGCAGAACGCTCGAAGAGCAGACCTACTCCGAAAGGTAAATAATTGTTTTCTGAAACACGTAATAATAATGTATTTAGTCTCGACAACGAGATGAACAACTTGTGCAGTTAGCTGAGACGGTCGATGTCAATTCGTTACAACCAGAAACGAGACAAGCTATTGTGGATGCTCAAACTAGGCGAGCTAGAAGAGCAGAACAAGCACGTGCCAAATATCATCGAATGAATAGGTTTGTACTAATTCAACTTCACATTTGAGTACATTCGACTCTTTAGCGAAGAAAGGCGCCAATACAATGCAATGCGTGATGCTCAACGAAGACAAAGAAAACGACAGCAGGAAACGAGAGTTCGAGAACCAAATTCGTCCTCTTCAGCTGTTTCAGGAGGTAGAGCATATCAATTGAAAAGGGAAACTCAAAAAAATGTTTCAGGTGGCAATGATAATCAAATCAATAACATGGGAGATGCTTCTATTAGCAATACCAGTAACGCGTCATTATCACCTCATCGTCAAGGCCATTCAGACGATGGAGTTGTCCGAGAGCAGCAAATTATATATACTACGTATGATATATACGATGATTATAAGCCTTTATCTAGTTGGGATCATTAGAGTAGTTAGTCACAGCTTTTCAAAAATTTTAATATGTTTTCACAGCCATTCCATTCTCGCATTTGTCTTCGCCTCATACCAAAATGTGTTTTAGTCATTTACCGTTGTTGGACAATTTGCTTTAATTCCATTTCTCTCGCTTCTCCCGAAATGCAATTTGATGACCCCACCCTCCGAGTTTAGTTTGGTGAAAAATTACGAGTAGTTTTCAAATTTTATACTAATTTCATTTGTATCAGAGTCACTGATTGCTGGGTATTTCATGCGTGTTTTCATTCTTTCCGTTCTTGGCTTTATCAGATAAAGTCGAGCCTTTTTTGCAGAATGTCTTTTTGAAGTATTATCCTTATGTTCATACGTTTCTTGCCTATTCTTTTCATGATTTTCCACTTCTTCCTATATTTTCATATGTGAACGTAGTTTACTTTTTTCATTGCATTAGAGATTGGCAAGCAAGTCCTTAAATTAAAAATGAACTTTATCTCGAAAATCTCTGGTGTAGCTTATCATCCTTATAATACTATGATTCATATCATTTTATTCCATGCCCTTGACCCTTTCTTTTTTTGCTGTAAATAATATAGTCTAATAATAATAATAATAATAATATTAATATTAATAATAATAATGTTAGTTGTTCATAATCTCATGTACCTTTCCTGAATATGCGATGTCAATGACCACTAGCAATTTCACTAAAAGGAGTCAATTATCTCGAATAACAAATTTCATAGTGATCGTTTTTACATTCCATTCCTACTGAACATTAATTAGGTACTGCATTAATAAACATTTCATTTCCTTTATCCTTCCAAACCTCATCGCAAGTCTAATCTACTTAACCAGTATTACGTCTTCATTTTCCGTTGCACGTTCGTGGGAACTGGTCGAGATTTCAAAAACAGTCTTTCCGCCGCAATTGAAAGTCCGCACTGATTCTTATCATGAGACATAGTTGGAGTTTACAAAATGTTTTCAAAGTTGCTGAATCGCATGGAAGACCGAACAGTTGGCTGTGTCAAAAGTTAAAGTCAAATATGGATGTTATTACAGAAATCCCATTAAAACACTTTTTTCCACAAAATACAATGGTATTCTATTTGACCGTGATAAAAAGGATGATTTGAAGGTCGCATGTTCAGGTTAGTTTGTTCAGAAGTCACATTTTTTCCGCTTGTCTTACATGTTATAAGTTGGCTCTGTTGTGGCTAGTGGCATTATCGGTTATTGTAATCTTGTGAAAATATTTTGAAATTTCCGAGAAAATAAGATGATGGTTTTCCTATTAACAGAACTATTTTCGCTGTCGGCTAATCTGAGAATCAAAATACCCCATATCCGTCGGTTAGTGCGTTGAGTTGACTTTGTCAACACAACTTAATATTGAGAATAGTTCAGCTCTCCTAATTTCCATATTTGCTTTGCTCACCTGCTGTCCTAGTTGCTATTCAAAGTAAATTTTTTTCCATATTTCTTGAAATTAATAAATGGTAGGTGTTTACATAGATGGCTCTCTAGTCGCAAGTCTAGTGGAACATCTGAATGATATCGTTTGACCAACCCGAACTCCAAGTGTACCTCGTTTATCGAATATTTTGCGTTTATGAAAAAGTGACACACAGAACGGTTGTTTTTTTCTGGAATTTTTCCTCATTTCCAATTAGGTTAGTTTCAAGTGTAGGTTGGAAAATTATTCGTGTCTCTTGCATCTTCGGCTGGCGGTAAAAGAATGACATTTATTGAACCGTCGTCTCTTTGCCTTTACTTCGCATCTTCTCTCTGTACTCTATATTTCCGTTATGTACAATATTAGAGGACCAGACGATGAGACAAGAATGTCTGAGAGGGTTGTCGTCCTGTTGTTCGTTCAAATACAATACCAACCTTAAATAGCATAGAAACTGTCAGTTCCAAGAACTGCTAATTGCTTCATATTCCTCCACTGCTATACATTTCTTTCTCTCTTTCACTCTTTTTTTTGTTGCACAATACAACACAACGCAGTTTGTGTTTTTCTTGACCTTTAACAGATGTACCGAGAAGCAGCCGTACACCATCCTTAGATCCGACACAATCGATATGAATCTGTTAACCAACAGGCCTTGTAATCAGAAATGCTCGTTATTAATGGATTCAAGTTATACCATCAACCTTAGATTTCATCTTCACGCTTACGCCATCTCTGCAATATTGACTGATCGATCGATTGGTTGAGATTCTTAAGAACATGAAGAGTGCGATATGTTTAGTTCGTTCACTTCCTTTTGAACATATAATGAAGCGCTATGAATTTTAAGTTTAATACTCCTTTTTCACTAACAGCTGTTGTTAATTGTAATTCTGGTTGAACCACAAGGTTTTCATATGCTTTTTGAAATCAATCAAAGTTTTTTACTTGCAACATCAAGTTCTCTTCTAATCACACCTGTTGGAATGACATTTCAAAATATTCGTGTAAATGACACAAAGCAAACTCATATTTTTTTTACAGGCTCTAGCTTATCTCATTCTTGGCCAAAGATGCTGCCTCGCATTCGTGCAGCACCTTTGTGCGTTACGTTCATTGGGGCATGGATGCTACTATCTTTTTATTTCTTTGGAAGAGTTGGCAATGCCGGCAGGAATGATCTTGTAATGGAAGAATTCAAACCCATTGAACCCGTCAAGGAAAGAGTTGTCAATCACAAACCAAAACATGTTGATATGCTAGAACAAGCCTTAGCTTCAGATGACGAGTATAAAAAGGTATCTTTCTTTCCCACTCGTTTTCATACTTGCCTATAGGTTGACGTCAATTATGATCCGAAAGTAGAACGTTTAACTGATCACGAAGACACTAAAGCGAGTAAAGAAGATGCCGAAGAAATGAACGATGATGACATTGAGAGAAAACTTGATGACCATCCTGTGGCACCTGCCATGGCCATCGTTCCAATTCTAGAAAGGGAGCCTGAAGTCGATTTGGAGAAGTTAGCTAAAGTAACCTCAGAGGAGGAGAAGGTTAGCCATTGTGATTCGTAACTTTTGATAGTTTTGAATTCAGTTGCAAAAAGCAGAGCTCTTCGAAAAGTATCAATTCAATGGCTTGTTGAGTGACCGTATTGGTCAAAGAAGAAAGATTCCTGATTCTCGTAACCAACTGTTAGTAAACTTAAAAAGATCTGAATGATCATCATTATTTTGCAGATGTCCAAGAAACTTTGGTTCCACAACTGGACTTCCTAAGGTTTCTATCATTATTTGCTATTTCAATGAGTCTCCATCGGTGCTCATTCGTATGATCAATTCAATCCTCGATCGTACTCCAATCGAGCTTATTCAGGAGATTTTATTAGTTGATGACTCCAGCGATTGGCGTAAGTTATCAGGGTAATAGATGGTTTTTGTAATTTTATGGTTTATAGCTGAAGCATCTTTGGCAGCTGCTAGCTACAAAGAAAAACATCCTCAATGGGGGATGATCAAAATGTTGAGAACAGAAAAGAACGAAGGTTTGATCCGAGCCAAGGTATATGGAGCGAAGAAAGCTCGAGGAGAAGTTTTGGTTGGTGTTCCAACATTTCGTTCATTTTAAAGCATAATCTTTCAGGTTTTCTTGGATTCCCACTGCGAAGTCAACCAGCAATGGCTTGAGCCTCTTCTACTAAGAATTCAGGAGAAGAAAGAAAGGTATTAACCTACACGCACGAAATTGTTATTTGAACTCCATCTTACAGAGTGGTTTGTCCTATAATTGATATCATCGATTCTGAGACAATGAAATACGTCGAGGCTCCTGTGTGCTTCGGTGGTTTGAACTGGGGAATGGTTTTCAAGGTGTTTTATAATCAGCGAATGCCTTATCTAAACAATTTCTATTTAGTGGGATTACCCTCATAGATCCTACTTCGAAGATCTTCAAAACTTCATCAAGCCAATCAAGTCACCTAGTATGGCCGGAGGTTTATTTGCTGTTGATAGGTAAGAAACTTTACTGATAACGTCTGATAAAGATTTCTTGTAGAGAGTACTTCTTCCACATTGGAACTTATGATGAGGGAATGGATGTCTGGGGAGCTGAGAATGTTGAAATATCCTTTAGAGTATGTTTCGATCAAATCGAAATAATCCCAGTTGTAATTGCAGATTTGGCTATGTGGTGGCGAATTAGAGATTATTCCTTGTAGTAGGGTTGGCCATATTTTCCGAAATAAGAGGCCTTATGGATTGAAGAATGATTCAATGGGCAAAAACTCATTACGTGCTGCTCTGGTTTGGTTGGATGACTATTTGGTAGCTTTAAATTCCAAGAATATGTATTCATCTAGTTCTGTTTAGCCTTTCTTCTACAAAGCTCGACCATTCCTTGTGAATGCTGAGGCTGGTGATATTTCCACTAGGTTAAAGCTGAAGAAAGACTTAGAATGCAAACCATTCAAATGGTTCTTAGAAAATATTTATCCAGAAATGTTGCCTGGCAACACACCCGAAAAATTCATTCCGCCACCTAACGCAGGAACGAATAAAGGCCGAAAATTCCTTGTAACTTATATGAACACTTCCGAATTCCGACCTCCAAGTTTCAGATTCGATTAGAGAACACGACTCACTGCTTGGCTGCAGAATCGTCTATGGGGCATATGACATCTATGAATCCTGTAGAACTTCATGCTTGTGATACCGACAAGCGTGTTCAACATTGGAGATGGACAGACAACGTAATACTACCCTTAATTTATATTGGATATCTGGTTTTTTCAGTATGAATTGCGACCTATGGGGTCATCTAGACTGTGTTTAGACGGGTTGCGGGGTGTTAAATTGATGAAGTGTCACAATCAAGGTGCTCATCAAGAATGGAAAATAACGGTATGTTGTTCTTTTAACGAATGCACGACACGACGCGTTCACCTGTTTCAAAAATGAACAAACAACAAGACGTGCCTTAATTGATTCATTCGTATTTTTAAAACGGTCTGCAAGGTATTCTCTTTTAAGGAAGATGGAAAGCTGTATAATCAAGCTTCTGGAAAATGCATCAGTGGCGACAATGTGATAAATGGAGCTGCGAAGTTAGTGTATTGTGGAATGGCCCGAACGTACGAGTTTGATGATGTAGTTGCAGCTTAGGAGGAGGAAGGGGATATTTGAATATAGCTGATACGGGTTTCGCAATTTCATTATTTTCTATGTAAAAGATTAATATAAACTAATTGTTGTTATTTTTCCGAGAAATTTATATTTTCGGGAAAGCATAGCAGTAAAGTCTTTGTGCTAGTATTGAACAATTACTTTTCTATTGGGTATAGCCATTAACTTCTCAAGATTGTGATCTATTGTGATAAAAAATAATAAAGTTTGATCGTTGTTAGTCAATCCACTACTTTTATGTTTATATCATAAATATCTTGTTAGAGATTCGAAACATATTTTAATAATCATGACGATTGAAATGAGAAGGATGAACTTCGAGACTTAATAAACATGTGAACCAAGAGTCAATCATGATATACACGTGAGTTTTCAAAGAATGTGTCATTATCCTTGAAATTAAGACCGGAATATTTATAAGTGAAGAGGTGATTAAAAGATTTGCAAAGGATGTGATCGAAGAATGTCCAATCACGGCTTATGCCCGCTCAACTAATTAGAGTCGATAGATTGTACGTTCTCATCTTTAGTATGTCGCGATAGGGATGCACGCCTGATTTATATAATCCCATATCTTTCAGTGCTTATACTTCAATGATCATTCAAAATGATGCCTTCATTGAACTGGCTATCTGAAAGCATTGGAAGTTGTGCACTGAAAAAAAAGTTGTTTTCTGGTCTTGGAAAGTAGATTAGGGACTTCCAGTTGGCTATAATTGAAACAGAGCAAAAGCTGTTCGCACAAGATTAATTCAAATCTAGTCAACTGGATGTATCAAGGAATTACGTCAGCATTAAAGAACTATCAGTTTAATAGAGAAGTATAAAGTTTATTTAAAGTTTCATTCCAAACATAGTAGGAACGACTTCTTTCGTTAACGGTTTCCTATTCTACTTGAATTCTTTAATAAGCTTCCATCTTTTCCTATAGCAGCTTTAACGATATTGTTGGGTCTTCGTTACTTCGTTTTTCCACTAACCGTAGTACGATTTTGCCGGATCTGCAAAACAGTTTGTTCGGCTACACTGTTCCGACTGCCATATATGATAGCTTTAAAAGAATCGCGGAACTCTTTTCCAGTTAACAAGTACAATAAGAATTTCAATGACTGAAATGCACTTGATAGATATATAGGTTGTCTGTCTTACTTGAAAGGCGGCATTTCCATAAGTGACAAATATATTCTGGTGCGCTTTTGTGATACTGAGACCGAAGAAATTCATTAATATGTATATCTGAAAAGTGCTCAGTGATCCTATTATGACGTTTCTCAAAGATTCTTACTATGCTACTAGATGTGAGTAGAACACATGATATGAAGCTGACAACTAATATAGGCTGAATGGAATTCAACTCTTTAATATTAGCGTCTTTCATAATAATTTTCGCAGTAATGAAAGCTGTCGCTGAAGCTATGAAGCCGCCAACCTGAATTTGAAGTTTAGGTCTCATTCAATCGAACGGCTGACTTGACAGATTATATTGTAATACTGATGGAATAATGCGAAGTCGGGAGTAACGCTACCCGATACTCCACAGTAACGATCACTTTTAACAATTTCATCATCCAAAAAAGAGGTTATAAACATAACTATGAGAGCTATGAGAGGTAAAGTGACACATAATAACGATACGTAAGTACGATATCCTTGACTTATATATACCCTAATGTAGTTGGGTGTTAACAGAAACATTTAGTTACAGCTAACATATACTTACCTATACTTGATTGGAAAGTAAACTGCTCCTAACTTTTCTAACGACATAATGAGCATGGTTGTAGCTACTAGTTCTGGACCAAACACACGAAATAACATATTCATTTTGAGAGCACATCCCCACAGCGATATACCTGAAATTCTGATTGTAGCGTGGCAAATTCGAATTCACGTGATGTTTCACGTATTTTTTTCATCTGGCGTCTATTTATTTCTCATTCATGCAGATGTGCAGATCGGTTGTGTTTTCACTGACGTACTGCAGATACTAACAAACTCACGTTCATAATATACTCCAGATGACATCTCCATCAGACGAGTTATACTTGGGTATATTAAATAACCGCCATCGAGCATGTCTCCCACACAAATAAGTGAAAAATACAGATACTTATCTCGCATAACTTTGCGTGAATTAAGAAAAACTGAAATATGAGGGATGGACTGCGTATGCATGTGCTGGGAAGCTTACGAAATAGAATTAAGTTACAAATGACCATGAATAATCCAACATATATGCGAACGTGTTCAGACTCCACTGTTTCTGAATCCGGCACTACCATGTATTTCGATGAAAAACAGAATGGTAAAGAATCTGAAGAATGTAAATTTCATTGAAGTATAATGACGTGAACATGCGAGGAGAGCAAACAATATATTAATGAGTCAGTAAACTCATTATTACTCCTGATTTTTGAGATTTTCACTTTACTATATGTGGCTAAATCTCATAAAAGCAAGAGAATTTCACAATTGGTAGATGGGACATCTGGTATATGCCTTTCAGATTCTTCGAAATACACCGATATTCGTTGATCGTCAAGCATGTTGATGTTCTTTTGGGTTTCATCTGCTTACCCATTAACAAATTGAGCGAATCGCAATATTCTTCCGCTCGACAGTCATTGCGAGAAGGTTCCCACCCAAGCTGACACTCATAATCACTCGTCATTACTTTCTAAAAAAAAACAGTATTGCTAAGGAAAATGAGGATGCAATTCCAAGAGTAAGTGTGTTAAGCGAAATCAAAACACCAAATAGTCTTTGGACAGGGAAAAAGTAAAGTTATGGCATTTCTCATTTCAGTTCATAAAAGAAAACAAGATTTGAATGTTAGAGGTAACAATTGCATTATGCAGTCAACCTACACTCCTCCTTCTCTCGAAATTTTTCGGTTTTTAATCTGGTTTATGGCTACGTTTTGCGAATAAATTTTATTCAGGTAAGCTTAATAAATATCTTTGATTGCTTCTCAATCAGCTGTAATCAGGCGACGACGTTCCATCTTCAAATGAAAAGGATAATTTTTGAAGGTTTACGTCTAACTGCTCTGCTTATGAAAGGAGAGAGATATATATGTTCATGCAAACAATATAATTGTTTTGTGAGCAGCTTTTCGATTGAATTTTTAACAACCTATGCTCACAAAGTAATATTTCCTGTTTTCATTAAGTTTTTCATATGTTGTTACTGAATCTAATTTGCTTTTGATTGCACTCCGCAAAGAATGACATTTTTTTCTCTTCGAATGTTTATAACACAAGTTGTTGATGATCATTGTTTTGCTCCTTCTCATTTTTTACTTCGTCACGATATATGTTATCAGTTCAACTGAGCTTGGACTGAAGATAGCTCTAGTGCTAACCTCCTTCCTCTAGCGTTATCTTCTATGTATTCTACATGTTATAATTAGATTACTCGTACTGCTCTTTGAAATACCATATGATTCTTATCCAGCTAATGTTCTCTCCATCACTAACTTACATGCTTTGCAGGATATGGGCAAGACATCCAAAGATAAACGCGACATATACTACCGAAAAGCCAAGGAGCAGGGATGGAGGGCTAGAAGTGCTTTCAAGCTCATGCAGATTGATGATGAGTTCAACATACTATCCAGTTAGTGCTTAATCTGATCATCAACTTATCAAGTGTTCCAGATGTGAGAAACGTTGTTGACTTATGTGCTGCGCCGGGAAGTTGGAGTCAAGTAGGCTTTAAGCTTTAAAGGCTTGATTTGTTTTCATTTCAATAGGTTTTGGCCAAACGATTAATAGACGATAAAAGGCATGAGGAGAATTTCCTTGCACCCAAGATAGTTGCTGTTGATCTTCAGCCTATGTCTCCAATCCCGGGCGTCATCCAATTACAAGGAGATATTACGGAGGTATCATTTCCGCGTTAAATGATAGCTCATCATTGCTATAGATTTCGACAGCAGAGCGCATTATAAATCATTTTGATGGAGAGAAAGCGGATTTGGTTATTTGTGATGGAGCTCCGGACGGTAACTGAATGCACTATGAAAACTTTGATTTCGCTTAATTTAGTTACTGGTCTTCATTCACTGGATGAATTCATGCAGAGCCAATTACTTTTGGCTGCTTTCAACATTACTTCTCATGTGCTAAAAAACGAAGGAAATTTTGTTGCAAAGGTATTTACGGAATTCTCATATCGCCTTATTGCATTATACTTAAGATTTTCCGTGCCAGAAATGCAACTCTGCTCTATGCTCAAATGAAAATGTTCTTCAAGGAAGTGTACTGTGCAAAACCCAAGAGTAGTCGACAAAGCAGTTGTGGTTAGTTGTGTTGTTGTTGTTTTTCTTTACAAATCTTTATTTTGTCAGAAGCTTTCATTGTTTGTATTGGCTACAACCCACCTGTAGAATACATACCTACAATGAAAAACCCGATGTTCGCAGAAGACTATGGTAAGTTATGAATCTCTCATAACTACCGTGATGTCATTAGCATATGTGTATGCGTCCACGTGATACACGTGATATTCGTAATCACATTATATTCTTTGCCGTTACGAACGACTTGAGCATTCTTTGAAATATTTTTCCAGTAATTATTCATTGTTAATTTAATATTTTCAGATGAGGAAATAAATCAACTTAATGGAGTGAATAGAGTACTAGTTCCATTCCTAGCCTGTGGTGATTTGAGTGGATTCGATAGTGATAGAAGCTATCCTCTTGAGATACCTGACATATTCTCAGGCACACTTCCAGAGAGGTAAAAAATGAAAAATAAAATAATTACATAAGCAGAGATCTTTAGATATGTTTTCCGGGAAGTTGTACAAGGCCCTACTGAGCCGGCTTATAAGAAAGCATGTGAATTGAAAAAGGGAGACAAATTGATTAAGCCGGAAAATTTGATGAAAAAGGTTCGTGAAATATGTATGAGACTAAATTATGATACTGATGTATGTTCAGGTTTTGAAGGATGTTAAAAAGCACGAGGTTAAAAAGCCTGTCGGGCCTGAACAAAGTGATATAGGTTATGAAGCAGAACTGTGCGAAGGGTTATCAACTATTTTTAACAGCTGATCTATATATATATATAAATATATGTTAATTCGAATGCTCCGTTATCCACATATGATTTACACTTTGTTACGTTGTTGATGCTAAAGGCACATGTTTGATTGTTATGAGTTAATATACTTTATAAATTCTATACTATTATCCTTTTATGGTATTTGCCAATTTTCCTGATATGTGCACGTTTATAAGATTCTTAAGTTTTATTGAAATCATATTTTCTTTTACATTGTAATGAGCTCAAACCATATTTGGTTTACAAGGGGTTGTATGAACATTGGTTGAACTTGTCACAGGCTTTGTGCTCAATACAATAGTTTAGAATAAACATTAGCCTGCAAGGAAGGTAGTGTGCTAATCGAACACCTACACCATATTACGCCGTCCAGCTCCTTTCTGTTTGAGGTTCTTAGGTACTGCTGACTCACCTTGATCCTTTCTTAAGTGTCATGACAGCCGTTCTAGTGTCACAGATCACTGAATTTTCCCTTTTTAACATCGTTTTCGTTTGAAAAAAAGTGCGTTTTATAAAATTCAAGATGACTCACATAGCTTCTCCTATTTTTAATATAAAGATAGAGAGGATGGATTGTCTGAAATTAATCACTTTAACAATTGTTGTTTCAGCATCTCTTCATTTTGATTGCTAGCACCTTGACACAATTCTCAAGCTACTAATACTTCTTGAATGCTAATTGTTTCTAGCTCTCATCTTAGGCAATGAATCCACCAACTATTATACTTGATGTTGGGGGTGTCCTCTACAAAACGAGAATATCCACACTGTGTTCTGCTGATGGCTACTTTCGAGATCTATTCCGGCGAGATTGGCACAATGAACTGGATGAGGTTTCACCTGTTCTCTTATCATTGAACTTCACTTTTTACTGACTTTCAGAATAAGAATTTGTTCATAGATAGAGATGGGGAAGTTTTCAATATAATTCTCAATTTCTTGCGAGATGGCTTTTCAAGTCCTTTGCCGAATGATGATTACACCCTGATGTGTCTATTGCAAGAAGCTAGGTAAGTGAATGTTGTCTTTTCCATTTCTCATATCAACTCTCCAGATATTACCGCTTAAGTGATCTCATGAAGTTAGTAGAACGTAAACTTTCCTATGATGATTTGCCGTTGAAAGAGAAAAACAAGAAACCACTCAAAACGTAACTAATCTACTTATATTTGCAAAACGTATTCTTTCGATTTCAGAAAGCAGAGAGATACCTTGCTGAAAAAAACCGAGAAAAACAAAAAAGAGAAGAAAAAAGTTACAACAAGTTCATATGAAGGTCGTAGTTTACCTCCAATACCAGCTGAAACGATTCCAGTTTTGAATGATTGTATGTGATTGCTGTGAATCGCATAAATTAAAAGTTTTTCTTATAGACGATCAACGTAATTCTGAGAATGATTGTCCTCCCATGCCAACTAGAAAGTCAGCAGCTGAAAAGCAAAAACGAAAAGAGAACGCTGATACCATTAGTTTACCACGAAACTTTACGTGAGTTAAAAAACTTTTTCAAGAAATTTTGTAAATAACAGACATGTAGCACACGTGGGATGGAATGGATCTGGGATTATCTTCGAACAACGTTTAGCCAACAATGATAATGCAGTTCATGCCATAATCCGTGCTGCCGGTGAAGCTGATTTGAATGTAATTATTAATCATTTAAAAAATTTTATTTTTTTGCCAAAAAACTAATACCAAATAGTGTTTCACTAACCATATCTGTTTTAAGCCAGTTTATAACGTTGTGAATGGAGAGGATGAACAGTATGGCAGTAATTCTGTTGAAGTGAGTTTCGCCATCTGAACATCATCATTCAAACTGCTTCTTCAGGTTTTTCTTGCTGGACCTCTTATGAAAACAAAAGAGACAACTAAGGTAGGTTTTTACAGTGCTCCGCAGAAACGACCGTTACCTCCTCCTAAACCGAATCTATCTCATCCTCCACGTCCAGCTTCAGCTAACAAATGAGTGTCTACATACTAATTCATCGGAATTAATATTTCTTGGTTAAACAATGTTGTAAATATATTTATATGTTCCAGTATATTGTACATTTCAAATGTTTAGGAGCTCAATGAAGTTATCATGCGTATATGACATTCATACCGTTTTCTATTTTTTTGTTCTCAGTGCACTTTTGAAAAAATATATCATTGTCAATACGTCGTTGTTTCAAACACGACTGCTCACTTTGATTTTGGAGAAGAATGAAACTCATCTCCATATGAACGACCGCGGAATTTTTCGGTAAAAATGGAAAATGAGTTTCCATGAATGCAGTGCTAGAATGAAGAGTATGCACGCTGCATACGTCGAGCATAGATACAAATGGACCCGAGGTATATTTAATCAAACAGTTGCCAGCTGTTTCAGAATTTGAAACAGTTAGTTTTTTTCTGAAACTGCATCATTTCCGTGTACAGTGAATGGTGTTTTACCTTTACCGAAAGAAGTAGACATCTGTTTGCACGTTACTATGCTAACATGAGTCAATCATGGAGGTTGCCATGGTAATAACAAGCTGGAATGAGACGATTGCTTTCAGCGAGCGGTCTTCTTTTAAACAAAGGTGTCGCTATTTAATAATTTGATAGTGATTCCTTATTTAGATTTTATCTAAACTATCCTTCACAAAATGCAACAAGAAAGTCCAGAACATCAATTACGAACAGTAGCCAATATACTCTATTACATCAGGTGGCTCTCAAACCAGTTTTCTTATTAACTTTGTTTTAGAGAAGGCTATTATGGTACAGCCAGTAATTATTGTAATGTTAAAGGCCAGCCAAGATCTGATCTGGAGCATGAAATGACAGTTCTAAAAGGTGTCGCTTACATACTGAACGGTAAAATAACGCTGAAGTAGCAAAATCGAATTATTGGCTCGTAGGGAAGGTAGCAGAAGCATTGAGAGTTCTAGAATCGGTTAAAGAAGGTTCTTGTGGGCTAGCAGCAAGACATGCACTCATAGCTGCTCATCAGTTAGCTGTTAATCCAGGTTGACATAAAGATTTTCTGTTTGTTATCTGAAGATTCAGATAAACAATCCATAATCGAACTTGAAAATGATATAAGAGAAGTATCGAAGAAAGCTCCCGATAACGGTGTCCTATGTGCTGGAGAGGTCTTGTACCTACTGTCACAATCACAAAAAGCAAAAACTGTAATGGAAAAGCTCATTGAGTTTGAAAATAACTATCCCGAAAGTCGCAAAAATCCTAAGGTGTGTGTGACGTCGTTATACTTTACTTTGTGCTGTTTCAGCTCTTATCCCTTCTAGCTTGGATAGATCTTGCATTAAATAAGGAACAACGTTCTACTAAACAACAATTTGAACTTGCAGCACACTTGGTTGGTCCCCATTTCTTTTTCATTACCAAAGCATCCCTAGGGCTTTCCCGATGGCTTAGTTGGTTTATCTCGGCTTTGCGAAGTTCATAAATCGTCAGCTGAGATGAAAGCTGTGACAAAAGTATACCACATCATTTTTTCGACTCTCTTACAAATGTTCTAGGAGATGATTGGCAGCTTTACTACTTTCTTACCAGGTCACATAGAGCGAGCTAAAGCGGGATTGATAGAGCATGATTGGGAAGCCTTGATTACTGCTTTACAGAATAGTACCATGGCCCTTGATGTTTGTTCCATTTTTGTTCAGATTAAGAAATTATCATTTCAGGGAGAAAACGCTTATATCTCATATTTGAATATGCTATACGCAGTTTGCTCTTCGGAATCAAAGATAGATGCTGCGCTTCAGGAACTTCGGGTAATCAAATACCCACTTTTCACCTACCTTATTCTTTAGACTGCTCTAGATACTACAGAGAAGGATAATCACAAGCTATATCATCGCATATCTTCTACTCTTATAAGGTGTTGCGTTAGAAACAAGCCTGTACTGGTATTCTCCAAGTAGGACAGTTTTTAGTTGCACTATTAACAGAGGTGATTCAGGCAGCTCTTGTCCAAAGCTATTCAATTGCATGGATCCGAGAGCTATATGGTTGAGGAGCTACGCTTAGCTATTGCTATGGAAGATGTCAAAGAAGTTGCAAACATCGCTAAGGATTTGATACGTTCTGGAAATACGGATCCATTCGCTTTGTTAGGAATGGCTATCAGCTTTCTGATGAGCGGCAAGGTAGCAGAAGCCGCTGAGCAGGTGGAGTTTGCTCAACAATCATATCCTAACTTGATAGCTAGTCCCGTAAGTTACTTGTTCATCAGTCGTATCAGTAATGGGTCCCTTCAGGTTTTACATTTTGTTAATGGCGTTATCGCGAAAGAGAAGCTGAAAAATGTTGAGATGTTTCGGAAGAATATCTCTGATGCTATGACAGTTCATAAAACCTCTCTTCAGGTATTTGATGCTTAAAAAATACTTTTAAAAATGTTTGACAGCATGTACTGTATGGGATCGACTATATACACGATTTTGATGCCGATCTTCTCTTCATGATTGCCTTGCAGCTCCTAGACTATGCTCCTATAGTGGTAGGTTAAAAACAAATTCAAACCATATTTCGGATGTTGCAGCCCACCAAAAACCCAGACGATATCCTCAAATTGTTAGAGACGGTGTTACAACAGATCGTCGATTGTTTTCCAGGTGAATCAGTATTATATTTAGCCTCTATATTCCTTTTTTAGGGCTTAGTCATGTCGTGTATACCTTGGCTCGAGTAATGTATCTCAAGTCCGAAACTGAAAACGCAGAACAAATTTTGAAAATGTGTTTGAAGCGTAATGAAACAGTAGCAGAAACATATCTTCTGCGGGCACAGGTTAGAGGTAGTATCATTCTAGTCATAGGGTAAAGTTTAGATGCTGATCGACAAGGGTCAAATAGCCGAAGCCGATGCATGCCTCACCACGGGATTGAACTTCAACTTTGCTGTCCGAGAAAGTTCTTTGTATCATTTGATCAAGGCCAAAGTATTCCAGGTAAAAATTTAATTCAATTTCAACTAAAAACCCGTAACAATATGAAAAATAGAAAAGTTTTCTCTTATGTACTGATGGAGACTTTGTAGTAATCTAATGATGTTACAAATGTGCTGTCCTTCCAAACCATTTTTGTAAAGTTGAACCTAAGAATAAGGGTTAGCTTTTGTATCAACAACTAGCAAGTACCATTGTCTTTCCGAAAAAACTTGCAGAGAGAAAGGATCTCTCTCTAAACATGCTAAGTTATTCCTGAGGTCACGTATCGATGTTTGAAAATCCACAACTTCTTCAACCACGTAAGGTCGTTCTTGAGGGGCCGCTTTAAACGAGATTTGATGAATGATGGCATGATTGAATCCGAAAGATACCTGAGTGAATATTACTTATTGTATCCTTTCTTGGTTTGATGTCAGAAAGGGGAATGAGTACCATAGAATCACACTCAGGAATGCGAATTCTAAAATTTTTCCTAATAGTGTTGGATGGCTCAGCCAAGGTTTACCTTTTTGAATCTTTGAACAGTCCTCTAATGATGCGTACTCTACTTGCTAAAACTGTTTTACAAAAATCGTTAGCCTTTGCTTTCGTGTGTAGGAAAACTTGAAATAGGGCATTTAGGCACAATAAAACAAACTGAGCTCACCTAAATTCACCCGTCGTTCCGTATTGATTGTTGGTAACCCACTGATATTCAAACTAGCTGCTCTTATTCCCTCAGCTAACCTTATCATCTTAAATAAGAAAGAATTACGGTTTTAGTACAGGTATGTTACAAGCCTTGATCAAGTCTAAGTCGAAAAGCCAATCATTACAAACTAGAATAGTTTGGCAGACTTGTAGCATGAGCGCAACTATGTCGATACACTAAAGTTACAATTAAAACATGTTGCTAAATATACCCAACCTCTAAGTTGTTTATGATATCAGCTCTATCATCTGTTTTATAATTACCATGACGAAGAACTTCCTCCACCACTGAAGAGCAATTGGTAGCCTGAATGAGTCAACATATCAATTTCTTTGAGAACGTAATTACCTGGCAGTCAAGGAAAATTGTTCGTGACTTTCCTATATATGCAAATATTTTAACAGTTTGATAACGGGACGATTCTATAGCTTCTCTAGATGCAGGACGGAATATATAATATCTTAACCAGGAATTTCATTGTGAATCAAATAGAAACCTCACCTGTACATGTCTTGAGGATCGTTACCACCTAACATACTTAGAATGGTAGACTTTCCAGCTCCTTGAGGACCTATAGCACCGATCACATCGAAACTCGTGTTGTCCGACAAATATTCCTGATATAATAGGTTTTTTTGTTTACATATAAAGATTCATACGTTGAAGAAGTCCTCAAAGCTCATAGAATCATTCAGTAATTTCTTTGCACTACTCATTTCCTTATCTTTTTGTACATTTGCTTCATTCACAGCAATGGATCGAGCAACTAATGAAAAATTTTATTGGTTTTCTCTTCGTGTCATACCTTTCGGTGTCGGATCTTTCACTAATGAGCTGTTTATATAACTTGTTTTAATCCCATCAGCGGGGAAATGCTCATCTTTGTCAGCATTAAAATCGTTTTCACGAGGCCTAGTTAGTAACTGAAGTGTACACTTCTGTGATGGTGTTTTTGAAGCTTCATCCTGTATAGAAATGGATGTACGCAAAAAAAATATTAAAACATACACGTCTATGCGCATTATGCCTGAGACTACGATTATTTCCTGAAGTGCCTGGTCTTGGTGGTTCTCTAGTTTTCATTTTCTGAAAATATATATGATCTGGTTAATATAAAACATACACAAATAAAAGATGATCCTCTAGACTTTGTGATGATGGAAAAATCATTTCAAAATATTTTGTGGTAGAGACATTAGAGAAAATGGCATGCTAGGGACGCAGAGTAACATATATGTACATAACAAAATTTTTTGAAGGTGTAGAAGCTATAACTAGAAATGAAAATACAAATATAAATTTATATCAATAAATGGATCAAGCTAGAGGTGATTAGCTTAACTACCAAAAAAATTTAAATTAGGCGCTCGTTACGCGTTGCTCACGTATTTCATTTCTCACAGTTGTAAGCGTGAGACTGGTTGCACAAAGCACTTCAGTCATAAATAAGTTTATTAACATCTTTTCAGCGTCGTGGGGAAACTGAACGCGCTGTAGAACTACTACGAAATGGATTGAAAATTCCACAAAAAGAAACTTCTGCTAATTTATTGGCACGAAAGGAGGGAGCAGATGCACATAGAATATCAATACAATTGCAACTGATTGACTGCTTACAAACATTGAAGAGAACTGTATGTCTTTTTAACATAGCTTCACCTCATATCGTCGCATTTTTTGCAGCATGAGGCTGAATCTGTTATGCAAAGTGCCATGGAACAGTGGCGTGGTAAACCCGAAGAAGAAAAGCTGATTCTGCTTAATGCACAGCTACAAGTATCAAAAGGAGATCCTGATGGGGCGTTAGCTATTTTGAGCAAAGTAGTGTTACAGCTCCATGTTCTTGAAATATCGCTAACTGTTAAGGTTTCACCGGACCAGCCGAACTATCAAAATGCCCGAATAAAGATGGCTGAGATATACTTGGAAGAGAAGAAAGACAAACGAATGTTCACCCTTTGTTATAGGTATCCTTATTATCCTTTTCCTTTATAGTTGCTAAATATAGAGAACTGATGAATTCTTCTCAAACGCCGAGCAATTTGACTCTATTAGGTGATGCATACATGAGTATACAAGAGGTTTGATATACTTCTACTACTTTTGCTCAGATTCTATTCTTATAGCCCGATAAAGCCATTGAAGTTTATGAAAAAGCATTGAAACTATCTGGTTCAAGAGATATAGCTTTAACAGAAAAAATTGGAGAGGCTTATGTTAATTGCCATTTGTTCTCTAAAGTGTACATTCTCCTAAAGAGGGAACTCATTTTTATTATTGTTAGGCTGTAAATTTCTACGAATCTGCGATGAATTCCAATAAGGATAGCAAAATGAGATTGAAGTTGGCCGGTTTACTATTGAAGCTTGGAAATTCTGAAAAGTGTGAACGCATACTAAGACAACCTCTCAATGATGACCCCGCCCCCATAGGTATGTTCTGATAATCATACGCTTTTCACGTGAATCACTCTTTTTCCCATATTCCTATATTTCAGACTCTCTGGTTATTTCCGCACATGTACAGTATCTACAACTTCTTTCAAAACTTCATCTAGAAAATGGAAAGATTACCGAATCTCTAGAAGATTTACACAAGTGATGACAATGTTTCGTTTTTGTTTGACTCAACAATCTCGTTCTAGTGCCAAACAGTTGCAATTGAAACTCATTCAAAAAAATGTTTCTGATTCTCCTGCCAACACTCAAGCCAAGAAAGAAGTTGCCAAGTGAAAATAAAAAAAAAAACTTGTTTCTCTACTATAACTCTCTTCTCAGAATTGATTGTATGATGGCAGAGTTGCGGATGACGAGGCGAGAAATGAAGGAAGCTCTTGAACTGTACAATGATGCTTTAAGTTATGAGCCAACAAATCTCAAAGTACTTGGTTTATTATTTGAAACTGATACAGTCATTACTTGTAGGCTGTTCTAGCAATGGCAAACATTCATTTGATTTGCAACCGTTTGAACAAATGCCAAGAATCGTGTAAGCAAGCTTTGGTTATGGACCGACATAATGAGCAGGCCATTCTGGTTAGTTAAACTCTGTTCGATCTTGAATTTTATGAGTTAAACAGGTTGCGCTTTTAGAGGGTAAAAGGGGTTTGTGTCAATTCTCTTTGTTTTCATAGAGTGTTTACGAGGTTACCGCCCAGCTGAAAAGTCTCTGTGATGTGTTTAATGTAAAAGAACGATAACGGGGGATGGAGACATTTATTAGTTAGTATTGCTGAAGTTTAATAATGTGAGAAGTGTTTCGATTTCTGACGTTATGCATGCCACAATGGACTCATCATGCTTCAACGTATGATGGTTCGCATTGTGTCATACACAAAATCAAGAATATGTAGCGTTCAATTGTTTAATATGACTTTATCAATAACGGGAAGAATAGTGAAACACTTGTTGTTGATATTCCATATGCTCTTCTAATGGACTTACTATGATTTCCACTTCAACAGAACCAGATGTGAGCAGGATTCCGGGTCATCGGAGCAGATGCTATAGCTTTAGTTCATGATTTGTATTCGAGAAACGAGCTAAACTTCTATTGCGTAAAACAGAACGGGTTGTTAATGAAGTTATCTATGAGACGAAGCTATGAATGGACACAAGCACTCTCATCTATATATACATATATATATATTCTTCGCAGTTCGCCTATAAAAGATGAGAAAGAGCTAAAGTTAGTTGAAAGCAAGATTTACCGATAACAAACATATCAGAATGCATGAAAGCATAAGTTTGGTGAAATCCACTAGATTTCGTGCATGACACAAATGAGAAATCATAGCAAGAACGAATGATGGCTCGCTTTTGTGTCATATACGATATCAGGGATAGACTCATTCAAACAGATGCGATGATACAATGCAGTTTTATTAATATTTTAGGCTTCACATATAAATGCTCCAAAAGCTATAATACATATTTAACTAACAGGTGCGAAATTTTTGTGGCAGCTGAATATTTCAAACTATATTATTTTTAAAAGAGAGAGTAAAGCACAATAAGTTAGTTTAAAAAAAAGAAAGATGAATCATGATTACAGTTAACCAACACGGTTTTCAAGAGGCTTTGCTATGATTCAGAAACAATGAGTGGATTCGTATAGAGTTGTTATGAGAGAGAGAGACTAGATAGCATAGAGTATTTCAACTTACTTTTACTTTGATTTTCATTATACAGCTTCATATAGAAATAGCTGGATAATAAGGTTGAAGCTGTGTTATCATTCAAGCATTCGTAAAAGTATTGCTACAATTCGTGTGATCTTGCTTTCGAAAATGAAATGGGCGGCTCCCAGGAATATTCCTTTTATAGCCAGGGCTGCTGAGGCGGAGCGAATAGTGCAGATTAAGAGGCCGGCTATGTCACAGATAGTCGAATAACTAACGAATGGATATAAGAAAGTATAAAAGAGAATCTATAATGTTACAAAAAAAAGGTAAAATTGATAAAAAGTGCTCAAGAAGGGCATTGTCAAATTCGATTGACACCGTTCAAATCTGATTTGGTAGTTCTGAATTGCTTTCAGATGATGGCAGACTTGATGTACCTTCAAAATGATGTAGACGGAGCCATGGTACATTTTGTTAACTTACTCGACAAATTTCCAAGTATAGTGCGAGATTATGATATCATTTTACAAAGTAAATTCAGATCATTATCATGCGTTGGCTCGATATATTGAATTAGCTTGGAGAAATGGGCATGTCGAACAGGTTTGTCATATACTATCTTGTAGTGATTTAAGATCACATCATCATAGGTGGAGAAGCAGCTGAATCGTGCCTTGGAGCATAATCCTCGAGCCATAGTAGATTCTGGTTATAATTATTGCAAAGCATTACATCAATGGTTTGCCCTCAGATGATATAGTTAATGAAATGATGTTAAAGGTACTCTGGTGAAACGAACTCTGCCCTTCAATCGTTCAATCGAGCACGAAAAGATAGTGAATGGGGCGAAAAATCAATTTGCAATATGATCGAAATCTGTTTGAACCCGGACAATGAAGTATTAGGAGGAGAAAGTATAGATTTTGAGGATGGGTACTGTTCAAATGATATAACTATGAATTGATGATATATATACAGAGATCCAGCAGATCGTGAGATAGGCGTGAAAACAGCTGAACGTTTTCTGAATGTGAGTTTGATAATCCTAGTTTTTTGAGTTTGCAAACTAATCGAAATCTGACACTGTGTTTATATGTAATAAACTACAGATTTCACAAAATATTCTAAATACTCATGTGCAAGAAATCATTTCTGAGGTTTCAGGAATTACGATTGAAGGGCCAAAATAGTGAAAATAGATACCAACTGATGGAAAACTTCATAATGGTTTCAAGCCGCGATAAAAACAAAGTCCAACAAGCTGTTCAAAATCTTTTATTAATGATTGGACCAGATTCGGTATGAATAGCCTTATAAGAGAAATTATTGAACGCTGAATTTTAGGATGATTCCATTCGCAAAAACAAAAATAACAATCCGGATATTGATGGTAACAAGGTAAATGAAGTTTAATAGTAAACATGATACATAAACGGAGTTGAAGTGGGTTTGTATCTTACTCAATCAATCAATGTAACAAAGAGGGACAGAGAGAGAGAGAAAGACAGGGAGAGAGAGAGAGAGTAAGAGAGTAGTGTTGGAGGTAGAGAAAGCAATATAGCGGCTTACTATCATAGTTATACAATACACTTAAGAACAATGACTATTCTTATGTTTTTTTTTGACATTTAGCCGTTGTGAGGATAAAAAGTAAAAATGGCGTTGGGCATAGTGTCTGCTGTGATTGAATACCTCTCAAGGTGTACTCTTACTCACTCTTAGGATAAAAAATAATTCTGAACCGATTGTATAGCATTTTGATGTATACCCGCTCAGGCTTAACTACTACGACACAAGATATCTAGAAGGATGAAACTTACAAGAGATAACTAAAATGGGATTAGAAAGTAGTAGAAAGCATTGAATAGTTGATGCTTTCATTAAATATTCACATTGAAGTACTAATTTTATCTTTTTATAGGATACTCCGGTGTTATCTGTTGGTGCTGTACTGGGTGTCGCTCGAGCATATATGCTTCAGAAGAATGTGCAAAAAGCGAAACAGATATTGAAGAGAATCGTTAATCACCCATGGTCTTTGGAAGATGCTGATTATCTTGAAAAGTGTGAGTTATCTCTCTCATATATCATTTTGGCAACTCAATTATGGAGTAGAAGGGGGCAGAGGGAGAGTAATGAGTTGGGAGTTCGAGCTGTTTCGCCTTGTTAAGGCTGTAAATATTTGCTTTTCTTTCTAGCATGATTATCTGCAAGTTCTGTATATGATAGCTTAGAATGCCAAGCGTATAACTGGCATCGATTCTCTTATGAACAAGCATGAATAGGCATTTTCTATCTTTTTTCTTGTCATTATATCCTAGTTGGACGCTTTTTCGTAATAAGGAAAGGGGGGGGGGGGTTGTGTTCTTGTTTACTGCGCACACACATCTGGTCATTAAAATTTTCTACTTTGGCGAAAAAGTAATGATTGCTAATGATAAGAGTGTAAGCATGAAGGTAACACCGAATCCAAAGATTAAGGAAATAATGAAAAGCGCTGGAAGTTGATAGATGAAAACCTGTTGTTGTGAAGGTAGCAACTTGCATGAACGCATCTTGAAATGTTCTAATGAGAGATTGCCTTTTTCGGAAACACTTGGAAATGATGATGTTACGAAGTCCGGGGGTATTACAATCATAAGCTAGTGTGGCATGTAGTTTGGAAACTTTTTTTCCAAGAAAAAAAAAGCTAAGTCAGGTTGATGGCATAGTAGGAGTGAGGGGGGGGGGGGTTCCATGCCACGATACGTATCTCCATCTACCCAAAATGCAATTTTGAATATATAAAAAATATATATTATGTGTATTATGAAGTATGGCACAGAATTGCTTATGAAGATCGTATCATCCGGTATAATTACGACGAAGAGAGTGTTTTTCCTCTCAACTTTGTTGTTATTAATAGATTAAGTCTTCATACGTATAGTTAGGAGTGGGTAGTTTCATTAGTATTGATCAATTATTTGTAATGAAAATGCAACAAATTTTATAATTTTTTTGTTTTTTTGAACTGATTGAGCTGATCATAATGATTTCTATTTGATAACAAATCCCACTAGATTCATCTATTCAGTTTTTACTTACTTGCTCTTTGGTAACTGACGCCCACAAGGCAGAGCAGGAATTGCTGCTGCTCCCGCCTTCGATTAGTTTCATTTTCTTGTCAAACATAACTTGATTCAGTCTATTTCGACGTCTAGAACTTTGATTACTATTCGAACTATTCTTTCAAAAATTGAATGAATAGCTATGTGTATGTGTGTGTGTGGGTATGACTAACCCAACATATATTCTCTATTACTTTGTTATGAAGAAGATTTGATATGATACATATCATCTGCAGGATATGACACCTATGCAATTGGAGATCTTGAAAGAGTGATCTCATTGCAAGGTGTTATGTCTAGCAGCTGAAGTCTGTGTCTATAAAAAATGATATTAATATTTATTTATATTTAAACATATCACTGATATGGACATGTATCTATTAGTTTCGTAATATCGTCTCTCTCTCTCACAACTGCATATGCTGTTTGTTATCATTTGGGAGAACTCAAAGAAGCGTATTTGTATTCGAAGAAAATCAAAAATTGTATAATCCATAGGTTTAAACTCTCCATGACAACAATTTTATTAATTGGAGTAGGAAAATGCAGGAGTATGTTGTAGCCAGCGATATTCAATTAAATGTGTGGAAGCTTTGATTAACTTTGAAATGCAATTGTTGCCAGTCGAATTTTAGCTCTAAAAATCTCTGATTGAAGGATACTGAATGAGAATGTTATCAATCCTATTTAAAAAAGGCAAATAATTTTCAAAGGAGCAAAAAGAGAGAGAAAGAGAGGGAGAGAGAGAGAGAGTGAAGGTGGGGAACAGCGTATATCCCATTGATTATGCAAAAAGTCTTTATCATGGAGATAACACAAGATGGTGAACGTTCAGATCGGTTGCATTCCTATAATGTTTCATTGAAGTCATTACATATTCCATTTGAATATGAGTATCGAAAACGATTGCATTCTAATAAGCATCGTTGCTTTCGATTTTTTATGCTTTGTGGCATTGCTTGCGAACTGAAAATTCCCAGCTTGTCTCTATGAATTTCGTGAGAACAGATGTTTGCGGCTTGTTATCACTTTTGAAAAGTAATAATTCAATATTATTCTGAACGTTTCAATGAGAACAATATCTTCAAAGAGACAGGTGTGTTCATAGATTAGCATTGCTCGATTCAGTCGCTGATAGACATGATTATGATCATCATCAGAAGAAGAATGCATTCATAGGCGTCGGAGTCATCACTCAATTTTTTTCTTTTCAGGTTGGCTTCTCCTAGCCGATATTTATATTATGCAAAACAAGCCAGAACAAACATCTAATATCTTGAAAACAGTACTGTCCAAAAACAAATGCAGCCTCAAAGCCTATGAATTGCTTGGATACTTGAATGAGAAAGAGGGAAAGTTTGTGGAATCTGCTGAATGCTATGAGACGGCTTGGAAGTTAAGCTCAAAGAATAATCCAATTGTTGGTTAGTAAAGTATTAGTTACAACATACACCTTTTCAATCCATTTTAGGATATAAGTTAGCTTATAACTTTCTGAAATGTCGACGTTTATTCGATTGCTTAGAAGTTTGTCGTCACGTTCTGGATAAGTACCCTTCGTACCCTCGGATAAAAAAAGAAATTATGGAGAAAGCGAGGATGCAATTACGATCATGAGCATCAACCAATCTTCTTCTTGGTTTCTCATTAAAATATTGTTTGAGCTTTTAATAATACTATTTACTATTTCGATGATCAATTTGATTTGTTCAAAACTCTCTCGGAGGGTTTAGGGAATCATAACGTCTAGAGGTCAAAGGATAAACCAGATCTTCTAATTTCCTTTGTTATTTCCATTTGAGGTGGAACATTAGACGCGTATTCGAACCTATAAAAGGGTTGGGAATCACAGCAGTGTAAAGCCTTGGATACCGGTAACGATTAGAGAAAGACTGTTCTACAGGTGTTAAAGCTGAGTTCATTGAGTTGAAATCGGGAACTGAATTGGTGGGAACCTTCAAATGAGGGATGAAGTTAAGATTCAAGATATTAAAGTCCTACTTGAGATCCGGAAACAGAGTGATGACTGAATGAGAGCGCATCGTCTAAAGCCAGATCTTCGCCATTGTCTTCACTAATGACGGTGAGCCTGCGGTTGGATGTAACTCTAAGAATTAAATTTCTGGAATCTTTTGAGGTGTATGGAAGTTACCTCGTGTTATCCGTTAGTTTCTGTTCCAAATACTGTCTTGTTTCTTCAATGACATTATATTTTCCTTCAGAGCTACTGAAATGTTTGAAATATAGTTTGAAGAAGAATATTACCTACCGTGGCTCAATAGAATCGTTAACCACAGATGTCTTTTCATCGGATTCTAATTGGATTCTAAAGTTTGTGTTCATTATTATCTCTCTGCCTAAGCGGATTACCGTTTAGCACTTATTGTTTTTTGCAGCTCAACCATCATATCATTAGTATTTGGATCAGGTGGGGGAGGAGGAGGAGGGGGTGGAGCGAAAGTTGGAAGTGTTTTTAAACTCGTCTCCAAACTTGATATGGACGATGTACTGATTTTATTGTTTTCTTCAGTCATAGACCTATCCAAATTGGAATACCCGATTTCGTCAGCAAGTATTCGCCTGTAAAGCTGTCGCCCAGAGACAAACCCTTCGTCTTCTTCTGTTTTTGGAAAAGCGAAGTAAGGCTGAGATACTCTGAACATATCGTTGATGAAGACACTTTTATACCAGTGCGACGTACTTATCAGTTTTCTCTTCATCCATCTTTGTAAAATTCAAATGTGTCCCATCAGGCGTAACTTGATTCACTTCCATATAGTCAGCTCTTCTCATTGGGATATATGGAGCTTCAGAAGAAGGGGGGCTGTGAAATACTTGCTCAGGTTTTTTAATCCGTATAACACTAATGCTGGAATTCCCATTGTAATCGCAGGCTTGCAAACAATCCTGGAAAATGTCATATAAGAGAGAAACTAGAGATTCGGAACCTGTAAACGCTTAGAAGCCACTTGAGGATTCAGAGATCGACAAACATTGCTCATGATAAGAGGAAGAGTCAAATGATCCCAAAGAGCACGGCTAGCTATTATCACATAATCTATGTTAGCTGAAATTCTGATCCCTTATATGTTATTCCGAGAAATGCTTACATATAGGGATTCTTTGGCTGATAGGGTTTGGGACAACAGCAGGATGAAGATAGTACAATCCTAACTGACGCGCATATGGAGTTAAGCCGTTAATTAAATTATTCTGAAAAGATGCGATTCGTTTTCATTTGAACACTTCATTTCATATTTGTGCGGCGTGGTTAGCGGTTGTTTCCTGAACTTGCCTCATCTACTATATGTCCAAGTCTACGAACTTCCATATACTCTTGTTCGTCCAAACCATTATTCATATATATTTGAATGTTATTATCATTTGAGATTGTTGCCAATCCTATTCCCCCACTTGAACTCATTTCCAAATATGTCTGCCCTATTCGTATTAATGTTGCGCCTATGAGAACAGTTTAATTCCGTTCAAATCAGAAATGATTTACTTGCTCCAAGTCTCTCAGCTTGTTCTCCGATTGATATATGAGTATTCAGCATTAAGTTTGCCAGATTATAGTTCTCCTTAACATTCATGTTTACTTCCGCCTACTTTGTTCGACTTACGTTAGTTTCGATCAAATCCAACATTGTTCGAACTATGGCTTTCGGTAATTCATAGTTGGTTCCTCCATCTACGAGCCCTATGATGTTCCCATGTCTTATCCTTCTGATACATAATCTTGAAAAGTAATTAGTTGTTATGTAAGTTGTTCGAGTTGTTTCACCTATTTTTTGAGCCAGTAGTTTCGGCAAATCCCACTTGTATTAGTTCATCTTCACTTCCAATGTTAACCAGTGAGACGTTCTTCTTCCTATGTCTACGTTGTCGTTGAATCATTCTATTTAATATGTATTCTTACCTCAATGTTCCACCATCTACTTGTAGACCGGAGTTGCAGGTAACATCTAGGAAACGTAAGTTCAACGCGGTTGTAAAAGACGGATGAAATTGTGAAATATGGTTGTTCGATAGGTCAACAAGCTGGAACGGTTTGCTCATAGTTTGATATTTTAAATGTTGTGTACTTGGAGAGTCATTGAAGATGAAAGATCAGGCATTTTTTGGATCTGATTAGAGTGAGCACGTAGTGTGGTCAAAGCGTTCAGCTCCGGGATTGAGGTAGATATCGTTGTCAACTTGTTACTGCTTATATTAATCTCTTCCAGAAAGCTTAAACTTGGCAGAGCACTTAATATTTTTAGATTATATGGGAAATAGAATGTTAACAATACCTATCATCAAAATATCTTAGACGGTTATTGCTCAAGTCTAGTACTTTCAATCGTTTCATTGAAACAACCGTGGGTACTATTGTTTCGTCAAACTGATTACCGGATAGTCTGAGTGTTTGAATTCTGTTAGAATCTATATGAGCACTGGAAGGAGGTAGAATGTTTAAACTATTATTTGTTACGTTGAAGTGTCTTAGCCTATAAATCATATGGGTGTCACTAGATGTGGAACATTTTAAAAAACCTTTTTAAGAACTTAAAGAGCATTGCAGGTAATTCACGCAGTCTGTTGTGCTGAAGGAACAGTGAGTCCAATGGGCATTCTTCAAACTCTGATGGCAAGTTTGTCAGCGTATTGTTTTGCATTGCTAACACTCGAAGGTTTGGCATACAAAATATTCTTAAACCACAGATCTTGCAATCGTTGTTTGGGAGTATTTACCTCTTCGGTAAAAATGAAATTTTGTTATTATGAGCTTTGAGAGTGGAGAGGTGCTGCAAATCGCATATCCAATCAGGCAATTGCTCCACTTGATTGTAACTGATGTCTAGAGTTTGGAGCATTGATGGTATCGGCATCACAACTATTGTATCCAATACTGAAATATCAAACATGAGGGATTCTATCTTTCTATCCTGCTTACAGTTGTGGTCAGCTTGAAGGCATAGTAACGACTGGCCATTCAGATACAATGCTGTAAGTTGTAATCGTGAGCAGTAAAAGTTCTGTAAAAGCCTTTTAGATTGCTTTCCAGAGCAAGAGATAACCTGCAGAGCTGCAAGATTTGTTAAATATATTGCTGAAACGCGATAATTATCCCGGATGTCCACATAGGCCAAGTTACTATACTTGCCCGTTGGTAAACGGAATGTGCTATCCAAGTTGTTTCTTGATAAATCCAACTGGAAATTGTAAGAACTTGTTAGCTTTCAGAGATTTCGCTTTTAACCTTTTCTATCAAGTCGAGAATATCATAGTACGTATCGATTAGTTCTATTCTATTTCCAGATAAAAGCCAATTTCGAACAGCGTTCATCCTTGTCAAGACTAATGGAATCTGAAGAATGATACGGGTGATTCTATATCCATAGAAGCTTCTTTAACCTCAGAAAATGAATTGAAAGCTAAGTTTAGGTGAGTCAGCCGGACACACTGACTCAATGCTATTGGCAGGGTCGACAGTTCATTATTTGAAACATCCATATGAGAGAGACTAAGAGTTATTATTTAAGAACTTGTTTTCAAGTTTGAAAAACTTTGCTAATGCTTTGATGTTGGATGGCATAGATGATATTCTGTTTGATGACAGGTTCAAATGAACAAGATTCAGAAGGCTAGTGATGGAATCTGGAAATGTTTTCAAGCGATTCGCCGAAATATCGAGGAACGTTAGGTACTGAAGACGGTTCAAATCTTCCAGAAATCCTATATGTGGTAGCGACTAGAAACAAGTTATAACTGCATCTTCATATGGTTGCTCCCACCTTCTTTTCTGAACGAATAGGCTCTGTTCTCAAAGAGTTCCTTCTTAAGTTCAGTTTCTTCAAGTTGGCGCTGGCCAAAGAAAAAAGATTTTCGGGAAGAATCGTTAATTGTTGATCACTCAGATCAACACTGTTTGATTGAACACTCTATTCACGTGGGATTACCAAGATGTGTGATATTTGAAAGTCGAACCTGCTGACTTCTTGTCAACCACAATAGTAACGTTTCCTGATCATCAAAACAGAAAAGGGTGAAGCCGTTACCATTAGCATCGCTGACTCGTAGACAACGACCTCTTCGTGTTTCATGCAAATCAACACGAAATCTATTGAGATGAAGAACGTCATCTTCTCCTGTATCTTGAAAGAAGCATCATAAGGAAAAGCGGACATCTGTTTACAAATACCTTTCTGTATACGAATTGTTCCATTGTACAGTATGCATTTGTATCTGTGCCACTTATGAAGAACTGTACCTCGTCTTACATAACATTCTGCCAATAAAATTTCTGATTTCATTAAACTAGTTGGATTGATGGTCGGACGTCCTGAAATATTGAAGTAGAAGTGCTTGTTTTTTCGTTTTTCTTAATTATCTACCCAGAAAGAATGCAATTACACTACGCAGATCATTATCGGCTCCAAAGTTTCGCAAATTAACGTCTGTGAATCCAATAGCTGTGATATGTTCCACAAAAATCAATAAAGGACTTGATTCCGGAGGTAAGCATCTGTAAGATTCAATTGAGCTTGTATCGTTAAAGTAATGATAAAGCTATTCGCAGGAGCTGCTGCATGAATTGCGCCATCTGAATTAGCATAACGAGAATGTCGCGTGGGCAAACGCAATTCACGTTACCCACGTGCAACGCATGAACACATTGCTTAAACTAAAGACGAGCCGATCGGTTGTTTCAAGGATAATACAGGTAAAACTCTCTCAATCATTTGTTGTCTCTATATCTCTCTCTATGTCTCTCTCTCTCTCGCTCATCTAGTATTTGTAAGTAAAATTCTCAATTGTAACTCTAATTATTAGGTATAAGGGAGTTTTTGCTTGCGGTATTCACCTTGTTCTACATACCCATCCTGCAATATCTTGTTCAGTTTTAGCTAAGATTCGCTTTTTTTAGCTTCCTTCTTCTCTCTCTCTCTCTGCTATTAATTTGAACATCTTTTGAGTGGTCTTATGCAATGGTTTGTAAGGAGTGAGAGGTATAATACGCTGAGTTGACTTGCAAGTGGATTTGAATATGAATAGGTGAAGGAAGATATGTAAGACTAATTATTTCCTCGCGCATTTGGCATGTCATGTCCGGTAAAAGAATAGGTGATGTTGAGATATACAAGAGGATGACCACCAATTAGAAAGCCGTTCCATAAATAGAAAGGCCAAGAATGAGAGATATCCGATACAAATTCCCTAATAGGACACTGTCTCGTATTATGCGAACAGACAAGAAGGTTTATATAGGTTTGTAAATGTTATCTTTTTCTATTTATTCTTTAAAAAGAGAATAGTTTACTTACTTTATTTGGAAGTTCCCTAATTGAACGTATAAGGCTTCAACCTTATAGTTATCAGATATCTGTTGACTAGTTGTTTCTTTGCTTATACTAGCAACAGTACTACGATCTCCTTCTGATGAATACAGCCTTAGAGAACATAGTTGTCGTGTTGCTACAGCTGGAGTACGAATCGCATTCTTCTTAATTAAATCATTTAGTTATGAAAAATGAATTAGAAGCTCACTTGGCTGACATATTTGCGTTGATAAGTTAAGCCAGATGTAGTGCCAGCTGTATCCGAATGTGATCGGTTAATCATTAGCTATAGGTTTCATACGCGTTCCGTTTGATCAGCAGTAAGACAATTGGAATTCTAAAATGAACTGTAACTTATGAAATACATGTTAGTATTTCCATAAATGCAATACAAAGAGCGAGTTTGGAAGGAAGGGAAGAGGGAGGAGATGCATGTATGGGGTGTATCCGGAAAAAATAATAATGAAATTCCATTTGTTTGTTGTTATTGTTAAAAATTATGGGTAAAAAAATAAAAATAAATCTGTGAAATTAAGTAAATAGCAATAGGCATAGATTTAAGGCAGATGACTAGAGGGTAATGCTAGGGATAGGTAGGTTAGAATAGTTGAGGGAGCAGGTCCATAATTGACCATAATAAGCGATGCGTGTTCACATCTACCTCTTGTCTCTTTTTCTCTCGCTCTTCCTCTTTGCTTTGTTTCTCTTCAATATCTTCGTTACCGTTTCTCTCGTGTGACCACTAGCGTCAAATCCTTTCTCTCTCTCTACCACAAACTGAGGTCTACTTCTCTTTCAGTCGGAAGGTCAACCAAACTTATTGCTGGCTGCTTGCAGTCTGAAATCTATTCTGAATTGTTTTTTTTCTCATTTTGCAAGCAATATTTTCATTGACTGAATCGAGGAATTGAAGATTCAAAAAGAAATGAAGAGCGAGAGATATTCAAGAAGATGAATTGAATATGAATCTCCTTACCTGACTTCTACGTAAAGACGACAGCCCTTCCCTGTAACTGATGATGATCATCGTTCAACTCTGTTCGAACTTAACTTGACCACCGTGACTGTAACTGAAAAAGGGTGAAGCATATGTGCTGAAAATCATCATCTTTCAGCGTTGTTTCTTTTTTTCTAAATATTTTATATTTGGAACTGTCAAATGGGGACAGGAATGAATCCGGTATTCACGGGTCAATAGATGCTGCGTGTAGTTTTATAACTTCGAAGAAAGCCAAATAAAAAAAAGGAAAAAAAAGTGGACGTAATCATGGGATATGAATAGGAAAAGAAGCAAGAAATTTCAATTTTTCAATCTTTTATCTTCCTGTATACTAATCTCCCCCCCCCCTTCGTCATCACACTCAACCTATTCCAAGCGCATTATCTTACCCAATGTTCTTTTCATTCCATCACCTACAGCCCATCTCATCCCCTCCCCCTCCCTTGTGCTTTTCTTTCGGCATCATCAGAATAAGCCATTTCGATTCCTGATTGAGACACATGGCAATGTGTAGACAGATCTCTTGAAACTGCTTTCATTCAGTTTTGACGAAATGTTTCATAAAAGATGTAACTCTCATAGATAATAGGTCGAGTGGACTGACCATAAACGGTAAAGATGTGAAAACGAGCTCTACAGGCGTGTCTTAAAGCTTCAAAAAAGTTGTCGCTTAAACAGCTTCCATCTAGAGATAGGCTTGTGATTGCATTGGTTAAAAAATACTTCGTCGTCTGTCATATTTCGATATATCTTATGAATAGGCTAGTGATTCGATTAAGCATACATGGCCCATCATCAGTTATGTTTATTTTACTGACTATCCAAATCAGTAAATTCAAATTAATTCGATAGCTTTCATGCATTTGAATAACTCGTTGTCTCATCAGCCATCAATTAAGTATCAATTACCAGTTTATGAATGATTGCATTTGAGTGATCCGAACAGTTTCTTCTATTGCCTCTTACCACCATGCTCAGCGGTTCTTCCGTTTTCATATTTCATTTGATCTTTTCTACTTCTTCGCAACAGCTTCCATGTTACTAAACCTTTGTCTGCCTGTGTATGTGTATGTGTGTGTGTGAGTGTGTGTATGTGTATGTCCACTATACAAGTATCGAATGCTTCAACTTCGAATGACAGTTTTGGTAAGAAAAAAAGTTTTTTTTTCGCTTTTTAAGTTCATTTTGGAGACAAAGTTAGTTGAGAGACTGTTATAATGAAGAGAATGAGAGAGAAAGTAAGAGATCTTGGAAAAAAAACGAAAGTAAAAGGAACATCTCCAAATGGCATTTTCCGGTTCCTAAACCATCTGGTTTCATAACGTTCCTTCAATTCATTTGCGTGTCATTAGGAATGCCAAGAACTATCTATGATGCTTGTCCTCTCTTATAGCGTTCTCCATTTCATTCAAATCATTCTTCAGTTCTGAAGAATATACTTCTAGCATGTTAAACTTACATATTGAATAGTTATAAGCCGGAAAAGGTTCATGATCATCTATTCTAGACCAGACTGTCCGTTCTGTTACCACCCAACCAATCATCAATCTCCTTTTCCTTTCTCTTCAAGTTAAAACTTAAACTCTCCAGATATATTCTGATAATAAATAATCTTTTCACACATTGCCATTTCTCTAATATACTTTTTCTAATTTATTTCATTTCAGATATGACGGCATTGCGAAGGATTTTCATAATTTTCCTTTTTTGGGCAACAGCTTCGGCCATCTTTCAACCTCCGTTACCTCCTCTGCCTATTGATGAAACGATTTCTAGCGAATTCGGGTAAGCTTCTTGTATTACTCTGTATTGATTGATTCTCCATTTCTTCAGATTCAACTTCGATGGAAGTCCTGATGAGCAGTTTCAACTGAATCTACCCAGTGAAGATGATACTACATCCGATAACTCTATAACAGCTACATCCATTGAAGTCACCACAACTGTTTTACCATCCACGATTATCGCAAGTATGCCTGCTTCTTCCCCTACCTTAGCAGAGTTGTCCGCTTCATTAGTTTCCTCAGTTGTCTCTACCTCATCAACTTCTTCATCCTCAAAATCTCCTTCAACTACATCTATCTCATCATCTGCATCTTCAACGTCTACAGAATCTACCACATCTACACCATCTACTACATCAATACCATCAACTGCTTCGAGAGTATCTACTCCATCCGCATCATCAACAACATCTACAGCTTCTACAACAACTTCGACGCCTACAACAACTACATCATCAACATCAACTACTACAACTACGACTACTACAACATCTACAACATCTACTTCTACTACGTCTCGAGCACCTGTATCCAAAGCATCTACAGCATCCTCTGTTTCCACTTCAGGTTTATCAGAATCCACTACTGCGTTTGTTTCCTCTTCTTCGTTTGCATCATCAACTTTGTTGTCTACATCTGAATCAACAGCTTCAACTGATTCCACGGATTCAACTGATTTGACTGATTCGACTGATTCGACTGATTCTTCTAGTTCTCCAACTCGATCGGAATCATCGTTATTATCAACAGCCTTACCACGCACTCTTTCTGCAACTTCGAAGTCCTCGATTTCATCAAGGATTTTTAGTTCATCAGCAGCACCACCATCTGCAGCTCCTTTTACAGCTTCAACTGTGCAGTCATCAACGCAATCTCCGGATGATGAGTTTGTAACTATTGCTTTACCAGCTGATGCAGAGGAAACTGAAGCTCCTTCTCATAATCGGTTCTTCGACAGGATTGAGTTAGTTGATTAATAATCTCATTGGCCTATTTCACTATTCTCATCATTTTCAGCGAAACAACAGCTTCTCCTACTGTTGCAACTACCACTGCCAGTATCACCACTAAGAAAACGGAAGTCACACGAGCCTTCGTTAAAAAGGGTTCAAAACTGAAGAAAACGAAGACTACTACCGTCCCTCCAACCACTACAGAAACAACTAAAGCTATAACCCCATCAACGATTGCCATGCTACGAACAACGCTAACGACACGCCCGACCAAAGTCCACACATCAGTTTCACCCAGAATGTTAAAGGTGAATAAGCTAGTGAGTTACTTGCACTGTTTTTATTAACATCGGATTGCTGTTAAGAATCGAACCAAGGCCAAGCTAGCTGTTACAAAGCCTTTCACTACTACGACAGCTGAGCCTGTGCCAGGTAACCACATCTAATCCGTTGTGTGTTGAGAAACTTTTTTGTTAGAAGTTCATCATCGTCGTATTGGTAGAACAAGGAGACTGAAGTTAGTCCCACTGAATGGAAGCGCTGTCCGTGTTCCTTCTCGTGTTCATCAGAATCCCGAAACTACCACTGTAACTCCTACTACCGTTCCAAAAACCGTGCTTGTTACACCGTCGGAAAAAACGAATGATCAGGAAATATTATTGGAAGCGACAGCAGAAGCGCTTCAGAAATCATCAAAGTTTGTGAGTGGACATGCGAGAGCTGGAAAGAAGCATTCCAATGTTGTGATAGTAAGCTCAATTCGTTCGCTAGAGATTCATATAAAAACCATTGCAGGTAGACGAAGTTGCGAAGAAAACGGTGACGATCAGTCCGTTTAGACGTCGTCTTCGACACAGTGGAATCAGTCATAGTAAGATTCACCGAATCTCAGCTTGAGTATTAGAAGACATCTTCTGTAATCAGAATGTATTTATAAGCTTCAAACATATACATATATATACAAATATACATAAATATAAAAATAAATTATTTTTAATAACCTTTGTTGTATGTGATGGATGATGATGATGCTCATCTCCTCTCCACCAGATAACAGTTCTCCTCCAATATTTTCAGTTAATTCAAATCATTTGCTATAATATAAAATTATATTTTTATAGTCAATTCTATTATCAAATGTTGGAATCATAAAATGGAATGTGATGTGTCATGCAGTTGCGTGTCTGCTCCTCCGTCTGTCCTCCTCTTCCTTTTCGCCTTCCTATGCAGCTTTCACGCGTATGTTCAATTGAAGGCGGGTCTTGACAATCTTTTTTTATCTTTTACTCCTCCTCTGTTATCATTCTCTCTTCTGTTCATTTTTTCTTTCTTTACCTTTCATTCTCGTATCATTGGCTCTTCCAACAACAGGTTCATGCGTTCAAAGCTTTAAAAAGCTTCTTGTGAGCATGCCTCACGCTTATCAAACTTGTTTTCTCCAAAATTATTCAAATCAGTCTCATTTTCTTATAGTTTTCCTCTTTACTTTTTTTTTCTTCCTTTCTTTTTCTTTTTCCAAATATGACTTTCCCAAGCATGCTCACAGAAGTTCAAAACAGCCGATTTGATATCATTCGAATGTCATCTTCACCTTTGATGATTCATAGATGGCATGGAACATCTCCAATGCCCGTTGTTCACTGTTCATCCTTATACGTTACTTTTTCAGTTCTGTAGTATATATGACGAGGAAAAGAGCTCTAGTATCATTACCTCATATGGTAGTCCTCATCTTCCTGCTATTTCCATCCATTTATGGTCAATATCCATTACCTCAAGATCAACAAGTATATCCTCAAAGTGTGGGACAATCTCAGTCTGTCTCCTATACAGATTCACAGGGACATAACCGTTTCACAGAGTATGATGGTACTTTCTCATTTCTCACTGATTTATCATGCATTTTATGAATTTATAGAAAATCTAGTCTTATATGGTGAGGATGCAGGAGATCTGCGAATCACGGATAATCAACGTCAGAACGGTCTTCAGATCCGTTTGCACAACTTCTTTCCCTACTATGGAGGACGTTACAACTATACAATGGTTTGTCATATTGTTATTGTCTTATAACCGAAAGAGGCTTTTACTTGAATAATTTTCTTTGCATTTCGTTATCATCTAACCCTCCCACACACATGTGTACTTAGATTTTGGGGGAGAAAAGCTGATTCATAGATGTGTTTCCAAACATCTCTCAATCACTTACGCACAGTATTTGTTTAGAATTTATTGATTCTTTATCAAAACTTTGTGATGATGCGATCCTTATTAGGCAAAAATGATGATGCCTCTTGTTGACAAATCATTGACTTCACCCATATTTCAGATTTCAACAAATGGTTTCATTAGCTTTGCATATTTCTCGGATGATTCACCATCTATGACTGTCGGGTTGGATGTTGATTGGCCAAGTCAAAGTGATCCAGCTGTTATAGCTCCTTATATGTGCAAGTACGTATTATTTCGATTATGTTTAATATTGATAGAGAGTGAGGAGATTTACATGTAACTTAGTCATAATACAGTTTTGAAACAGATGTTTTAACAAAAGAAAATATGACATTAAGGATTGAGAGATCATCTGAATCACTCACTGACCACGTCATTCAAATGTTTTTTTTTCTTTTGGTTTTTCCTCCTTCCTATTCTACCTCACTCACTACCTCTCTCTCTGTCTCTCTCTATGATCCATAATAGATTATTGAATGTACTAGATGAAACAAAGGGAATCTGAAAACATACTATACAATTTTCTTTCCCTAATTTAGGCAACGTATTCAAAGTGGTCAAGGCTTACAATCTCAAATATACTATCGGCTGGAAGTGCGTCATGATATTGCTCAACAGTTTCATAATCGGCGTATGTCTCCTTCATCATAATATAATAGATCATTTTGTCATTTAAGAACTTGATAGACGACGTCAAAGTTGTCAGGGAAAGCCAGATTACTTCAAATGTGACGAAAAGTCGGATGAATTCTTAGATTCTATGCAGAAAGCATTAATGCGTAATATATCATATAATTAGTTGTCACATGAAATGCATATGTTATAGAGGGAGTTGCTGGTGCTTCTACTTTCAGAGCTGAAGCTGCTCTTGTTGTTACATGGGTTAACATGAGACCAAATATAGGGTCCGAAAGGGGTTTGGCAACATATCAACTTGTGTGGCTTACTGATGCACAGGTTGTCGTTGAGCTATTGAACAGATTGATCATTACCTATCTAATACAGGGGCTGCAATCATACACTATGATTAATTATAACAAACTAGGTTTCGATGCAGCTGATATGAACGGAAACTCCAGAACTGGCAAGTGTCAGGTACACTCATCCCGAGAGATCATGATTAACACCTGTTACTAATCATTACAGGCTCTTTTCAATGGAGGTAATCACACTGGAACTATTGCCGTTGATTTAAATGAAATGACTAAGCAACAGCCTTCTTCGTTGGCTTCACGTTCATCTGTTCCTCATGTCGTTAGAGGAAGGTAAGCTTAGAACAATAATATGCCGTACCAGTCAGGAACTATTCTTGTCTGGTCGTTTCCCGGTGTCGCTCAACAAGTACTTCATTACTATTTTTTAGATACTTTCATCGAGTAGATGATGTAGTTCGTCCAGCTGGATGTAGTAATAAAACTGGAGGAACATGTGAGTATTAGAACATTTGAGTTCGATCTTATAAAAAGCTTTACAGTCCCTCTGTTGATATATCCAAATATCGTTTCTATGTTGGGACAGGTGAACGTTGATGTGAATGGGCTGTGCTTGAATCCTTCAACAACATACGTTCTCATGATTGAACAACGTCAAGTAAGCTCAAAAGAGCTATATGAATAGGATTCTCTTTCAGACAGCTCCTTGTGAAATCGTGAATCCGTCTGTTGCTCGTTGCACGCTACCGAGAATCCAAGATTGGGGAACGAAAACGGTTTACTTCCAACCTCAATCAGGGTTATCGAATGATGAGAAAGCTTATGTTGGTTTCATCTACTTCGGTTAGACATCAGTTTTTGTTTTTTTTTCTATTTTTATTCTGTTCAGTACCACCTACTATCGATCCTATGAGATTGGATATCGGAGACATACATTCCTGGTATCAGAACCCACCTCCCAGTCCAATGAGCATCAAATGGTATGTCAACTATTTTCTGAACTGAGAAGAAAACTCGTATTTAAGGTACCCTCGTAATTTCTCTCTTCCAAGATCTGAATCAGAGTTCTCTCGAACCAATTATTTCGATGATTCAGTTTATAATGTTCAATTAGGATTGTATGTTGTTGGATACGCTGAAGCAAAGAATGAGGAAGCTCGTAAATGGACTCCTCAGCATCGCGTGCTAGCCAGGTATACAGGAAACTACATTCTCTCTGATTATAATCTACTTCTTAGGTTAGCAACATTCTCAAACCGAGCTGATGAGTACTACCGATGGAATCCGATGATTGAAAAGTTCCATGTGGATCATGATGTCGAACAATGGTACTTAAGTAGAAAAGAGCAAAGAAAGGAGCTTTTCAAATATAGGTGGGAATAGGAAGTTGCTTTGATTAGAATTTTCTGAGTTCCAGATTTGGATACCTTAAGCTCGCACGAATTCCAACGAACGAACAGAATTCTCCAATCAATCGCGATCAAGGCCTACACTTAGAGCTTCCAGAAGGGTAATTTCGTTTATAATCTCATATCTCATATCACTTGATTCTCAGCTTGGTTTCTTCACCCGTGTCCTTGCACTGGCTTTGGACCTTAACAGAAGAATTCCCCTCCAACTACCGTGGAAACAAAGATGAAAAGAAGAAACTGGTCAAGAAGAAGGTTTGCGTACCACCCTCATGATATAAAAACTTTTCAATTGTGCAGGCTCAAGAGATGTGCCACAGCTGGTACGATGAAGATGGTGCATTGACAAACTTCATAAAAGACACAGAAAGTAACTCCAGCTGTCCATGTACAGAATATCAAGCTCGCGTGGATATTGGACGTTTCATGCCTCATCCCAGATGTAGTTATGTGAGTTTATCACTCTAATCATATCTGACTAATAATTTCTTTAAGCTTTTCCGTGATATCTCATGCACAGAAACGTTGGGAGCGATGAATTGCTATATGTCAGCCCAGAATGTTCAAGGGAGCACTAACCGTCGAACCAAATATGGACATGAACATACGTTAGATTTCCGTTTGAGTCAAAACAGTCATCAGTTGATGTTATAGGTCCTACTCAACTCATTATGGACAAACTTGTTGCTATGATTCAAAAGGATTTTTGATGCAGTCCAGTTATCAGCCTGTTGTGAAGATAGAAGACTCAACACCTTACTCTCCTGGTTTCCCAACACGAGCTTATGAAATGGGATCTGATCCTTACCAGGGCATGTTTGAAGTAAACCGTTAATTTTCCAAAACACAACTGAAACGAGTATTCTAGGTTCCTGGTTTATCCACTTTCCATCATGATATCATGCCTTACTACTTCTGTTGTAAATATGCTGATTTCCGATGTCAAATGTTTTATTGGAGAAGACCATCATCTTCTTGCCAGGCATACGAACCAGCAGCTACAGGTAAGCCATTTCCACCTCTTCAGAAAATCTCATACCTTCTTTCAACTCGTAGGATCCATTATGGGCGCAGGAGTCATTTCAACTCTGAATAATAGAAATCTTGTTTTCAATGAACCTGGAATTTTCCGTTTTCTTCATGCTCACGCAACAAAAACTACTCCTGAGGTACAGATTCAAGTGAGACTGGAGAGGTTCCCGGATCGGAGTGTCGATTTCGGTAAGTACCTTTACTATCATACCTTCACTGAAGAATGTAACTTGTAGGTTCTCATAATATCGAGCAAAGAGATTTGGTGCAACCAACGAATGCTACTGTAGTGACTGGTGTTGTTCTTCATTCTTCTGATGCTGACAGGCATGGCTAACTGTTGTAGCATCTCAAATAATGCTTCATTTATTTCAGAGTTCATGTTGTTCTTCGTAAAGATACTCGTAGAGGACGTTATAAGACTTCGATCATTGTTGGAAATGTCATCAGATACTTTGATAACATGCATTTACAGAGATTCAGAGGTACTGAAGTATCATTGTCCTTCTAGCTTATAAGAAAGTTTAAGGTGTAACAATCTATGTGAATAACGTCGAGAAGGGACAAGCCGAGATCTTCGTCGTCTTAGATAAAGCACAAATCGGTTTGAGAATAAGGTAAACCTCTTCGTAATATGTTTATAAATAATTTCTTTCAAGAGAGTCTTACGCAATCGATATTGATCGAAAGTTCCAGTATATGGAGAGTTTAGGTTTACTGGATGTACAGGTGTCTGTCCCTCCACAATACAAAGTGGTAATATCTTCCTTCTATGTTATTTCTAACTTCTTTCGACTCTATTATAGCATCGTCGTGATGGAATTCCTCGTGATAATGACGATCCTAAAGTGGATGGTCTGATAAACCCTTATCCAGATGATGTATACAGTGATCAATACGCTTCCACCTTGCTCTGGGGAAATGTCAATGATGGAAGCAGCAGAAGTGCTTTGTTAAAATGTGAGTTACTAGTTGCCAGAATATTCTTCATTGGATACTTTCAGATAAAATAAAGGGAGATCATGAAACTCAAAACGTGGATTTACAACAACACAGTGATGACACTCATGATTTGTTCCAAGCGAGAAATGATAAGGAGAAGATGTTCCAAGTAATATAATCATAGTAATATTCTGCTAAACAGTAATCATTCCAGGCGTTTGCTGACCACTACCTGAAAGGGCCTGTATATAAAGTATCTTCCAAGTATCAGAAGTAAGATTGCATAATTCCATTTTTCAACTTCAACTACATTCCTTTCAGTATTCCATTCTTACCTCAAACTGAAGCTGATTTTAAACAGTTCTTACGTTTCTGCTCAACGATCCAGTGTGAGTTAGTAGAAAACTTGTGTGTGATTTGTGTATGCTTGTGAAACAATCAGAACAACTCTCAAACCAACCGCTCAATGCGCATATCAACTCAGAAATGCATTTTTTTGTGAACTACTGCTACTCACATGAACTTCACGTGATTGCTGTGCATCCTAATATACACTTTTCAGCTGCTGAATTCATGACTAGAGAAGATCGAAAACAGTATGCTCGTTGCCCCATCCATTTGACACACTTGGAATCTGAATGTGGACAAGATGTCACGTGTATCTACGACGCTGTCATGCTTCAAGTATAGCTTCCCCTGAGCATAACTTCACAAAATTTTCCCATTACAGGCTCAGCTATTAGGAGAAGAATCTCGAGAATCGTTCCATACGTATATTGAGAATCGTCAATTGGGAGAAGGACGATACAACAGCTGCGGAGCCATGAACATTGAATATCCTGAATATCTCATCAAAGTCAGTTTTTTGATTGAGCTTTTTTCAATTATACTATTCATTAAAGGGACCTTCAAGCGGAGAACCAGCTTACTTAGAAGGAAACACATTGTCTTTCAGTTGCTTCCAGACACATATCGTCAAAGGCAACTCCGACTTCACCTGTAGTTTCTTTTGCATTTTTTGTTTGTTACTGATTTTTTTGAGGTCGTCGAATCAAAAATGAACGAGATAATACATATCGTTTCCAATGGACTCAAGGAAGTCAGCCATGGTGTCGAGCAAGGTACTATTAAGCTCGACAACCTCTAATCTATACTTGTTTCTTTCAGAGCAACAGATAACGTTCTAACTTGGCTGCAATGGATTGCTGTAGCTTTAGGAATCATGCTTATACCAGTTATCATCTTCTCTACTTGTTGGGCAATAAAGCAGAGCCAAAAAAATAAAGCCAATAGAAACGCTGAATCTAAAGAAGTAGAAATGGTATTATTCAAAGATTTTCTGCGATTCTCACGAAATTCATTGATTTCAGGTGCTGTTAAGATCTGATGCATCAGGACCAACTAGAGATCTTTATACACCAGAATCCAGCATTACACGGTTCGACAGAGAACCTGGTCAACGAGCTCGTCAACCAGAGTAAGTTTCAAACCTTCAAGGCAATAATATTTTGTACTCTTTGTAGATACACTCCGTACAAATCGTCATTTAAGCCAAACATCAAAGAACTATCAGTTTAATAAGAGATTCACAGGTGAATCGTACGGAAAGCATACTAGAGTGTTTTAATTTTCATCTCAAAACAGAATGTATCTCAGAGCCAATTTTCATAAAATTGTTAAGTTATAAGCCATGCTTATTGTCGTTGAACTAGCAAAAGCTAGTAGGATTTTTTAATATTTTTCTAATTGTTTTTTAAAATTTTCTAATTTATAAATGTTTGACGGTAGTGTATTGTATACTTGGCCGGGCTGGGCTCGGCTCGACAGGCTCGAATGTCAAGCTCGAGCCGAGCCCCGGCTCGAGCTCGGCTCGAACTAATTTCTGGTCTTGAGCCTATTTTTTGGTCATATATATTCACAAACTAGTATACGATAGTTATTAAATAGCAGGTTGATACGATAGATAAATTTATAAATTTTTTTCTAATATAGGTGGAAATAGGAAGTTACTTTGATTAGAATTTTCTGAGTTCTAGATTTGGATACCTTAAGCTCGCAGGAATTCCAACGAACGAACAGAATTCTCCAATCAATGCGATCAAGGCCTACACTTAGAGCTTCCAGAAGCGTAATTCTATTCATTATCTGATAACTGATATCTATTGGTTCTCAGCTTGGTTTCTTCACCCGTGTCCTTGCAACGATGAACCTTTTCATGATACCCTTATTGTTTTCAATTTACGCGTTAGGCTAGGGAGACATGAGAGTGACGCGTTTGCGGGCAGAGACGCAGAGGAAGAGTTTCTGTATATTTTTTCTTCGCCTATAATTTTGAACTCCGTCATCAAATTTTCCTAATTTTCTCTCAAACTCCTTGAATTTATTTACAGAACGCATAATCTAAACTTCCGATATGCATTTGTTATTGACATCAGTAAGTTAAACTTTTATTTTAGAATTCTTGTTTTGAACATTTCATTTTAGCCTCAATCCCGCTCTCTCTACTCCACTTTTTCGAATGTTCGTGCTAGGCTTGAGAAAAAGTGAATATATGATTAATATTTTCTGAGTTTTCATTTTGGTTTATTATTTATTTTCTATGTTTTAGGATCATAAATAGCGACAATGATACGCGTTTTGTTTTGGACACAGCTCTGCTACGTTACATTAGGGAATTTGATAGTTTACTGAGACATCCTGAAGGTGTGCAAAAATGATTTGTTTTCCTTACAAAAATATTTTTAAAAAGTGTAACCATTTTTCAAAATGTTTTTGTTTTTAGTGCGATGTTGTCGTGATCCTTCAATACATTTACCGGAAGTTGATGAAGTAAGCTTCTTTCTTTCTTTCTTGTAACTTGACTCTGTATTTAGCAATCAGTAACAGGAAAACTTCTGAAGAGAATGAAAAAACAAATAAAGGCAATTTGTGTACTTGCCGACGTTGTATATATTGGTATATTTCATTTGGATTATTGACATGTGTTAATTGAGTTTTTGTTAGATCCTCCAGCAAATGCAAACGAGGCTGAAATTCTGGCAAGGGCGCAGAAGGTGTTGAATCTGCTTTTTGACTTAATAACACCCCCATCCTCATCTCCCGCTTCCGACTGCGCAACTGACTCCGAATAAGTTGTCATGCTTCCTGTTATTCTATGATTTGATTTATTTGTGGCTATTCGTATTTCACTAGTTTATGTCATTCTGTTCCATCCACAATTAAGCTACTAATCATGACCCCTCCTGTTTAAGCCTTTAAGAATCAAACTTACCTTATCCTACTGCTACTTCTGCTTTATCCCGACCAATCTGAAACCTTTTTTATGTATGAAATTACTGATGCTTTTCGTAAATCCTACATTAAGATTGTGGAAGGACTGTTAGATGTTCACGCAGATGGGAAAGTTAAACTTCGATTTGATAAACATTTTTTCGACAGCGAACTTCCGGATGAGTTTTTTTTCGTTGTGTTTGTAACACAACGAAAATGAAAAGAAGATTCCATGAGAGTCCAAACCTGAAGAATTCTGAAATTTCATCGAAGAAGATTTTGTGATAAGTACACACGCCCTTTTTCTTATGATTTGTATGTGAAACATCTTTGCGAGTGATCGCGCAACTGATAGACATTACAGCCATTGCTCGACCTGACTTATCACTGATATACTGGTGGTCCCTTATCCTGATCCAACAAGGGTATTTGACAAAATGACGTTTAGCATAGTTGCTACTGAAGATCGAGTTGAACTCCTTGTTCACGCGTTTCAATCTCCAAAATTTCTGAAACAATCATAACTTTTCATATTCTTTTCGGGGAAACCTTGAACTCATCGAGATCCGATGTCTCATCTATCACTCTCTCCAGAATCTTCTCTTTGATCTCACGAGGGAGAAGCTCAAACGGGTAAGGATTCTCTTCTACCTTCCTATCTATGGACGGTACGTCTCCTTCTTCAGCCCTCATTTCTCTCCTCTATAACCTGAA